AGCCGAGCCTCCGGTTTGCGTCAGAGCTGGGGTGCCGCCCCCCACACTAGGCAGGATGGGAGGATGCGGGATGCCCGGAGCAGCCGGGAAGGGGCTCCGCCTCCGTTTCTGGCTGGGTCTGTGGGAGCTGCCCGGAGGGTCCCCTTCACGGTCAGCTCCACTTACTTCCCAGGCCTGGAGGCCGCAACTGCTGCGGGACCCTGAGCGCTCGGAACCCTTCTCCGCGACAGCTCGCAGAAAAGGGATCCTGCGCCTTTAAGAACACCCGCGTCCACCCGACTGGAGCCCAGCACCGCGGGGCGCGGGCGGGCGGGGCTGGGTTTGTGAATGAAGCGGGAGCCGAGGGGGAGGGGCGGGGGGAGGGGCGGAGGGGCGGGGCCAGCTCGGGCTACGCAGCCGCGGAGCTCAAATCCGCACTCCCGCCGCCCAAGGTCTCCGGCAGCCTGAGATCAGAGACTGCAGGGGACTCGGCCCCCGCCCCACACAGCCCAGGGAGGTGGGGAAGGGAAGGGACGCAGGGGGACCCACCCTCGCCCCAAAGGCCCAGAGTTCCCAACCGCGTCCGCGGGCGACCCTATCTGGCTTCCCCGCCGCCCAAGGTCTCCAGCCGCAGAGTTACCCCACGCCTGCTCCTGGCCCCACCCAGAGCCTCGAGGGGTGCAGGGGTGACACCTCTCCGTGGCTCCCGGCCTCCCCCCACCAAACGCGGAGCGTGAGCCAGGGCGTGGGCCTCGGTGCAGATGGCGTTTTGGCCCCAAAATAGCTGCCCCCCCACGTCTCCTTCCCTCCCTCCGGCCCCAGGGGTGAGGCGAGGAGGGGGCCGCGAGCTTCCACGGGTCCCACGGCACCGTGTGACGGACACTGGGGGCCGGAGGGGGCGTCCCCACCCCCAGGCCGGGCCCACGGCCCCCGCACCCCGCACCCTTCCGCGCACGAGCCGCCCGACTCCCGGCCCCCACCACCGCCCACACGGCGTCTGCCCCGGCGCCCACCCGGCACGCACGCGTTTGCGCGGCGGCCAGGACCCCGGAGCCGACCCGCGCGCCCTGCAGCGCGCACCGGGGTCCCCCCCGCGGCGCAGCCGGGCTCGGCGCAACCACGCGGCCCCGGCCCGCGTCCACGCAGCCCCTACCTCCAACGCACAGCAGAGACATGACTCCGGGCGGCCGGAGCGCGGCGGGCGCGGCGCGGGGCTCGGGGCTCACGCCGGGGCCCGGCCGCCGGCCATGTCGCTTCAGCACCGGGGGCGCGGACAGCGCCTGGCGCGCGCTGACGCTGCGACGTGGGCGGAGCCGGAGACGCGTGACGGGGCGGGGCCCGGCCGGACGCCCTGGAGCGTGAGCGCCCGCCGAGCGCCTGGACCGGCTCCCTTCTGCCACCAGCGGTGACCGGCCTCTGTCGCTGTGGTCGCCTATCTACGCCCCCATGTGTCTAGTTCCCCCTCTGAGCCACCTAACCGGAGCTCTTGTTTTACATTCTCCGGGGTAACAAACTCCTACATATCTGTCAATCCCCAATGTCCAATGCCCCAGAAAGCCATCCCTAATTTCCTAGCACTGAATGATATTTCTTTCTGTTTTATGCTGGTGCTGACGCTGGAACTCAGGACCTCCCGCGTGTGAGGCAAGTGCTCTACCACCGGCAAGGATCTCTGCCCATTTTGTAACTTTAAAGAACTGTATCTCTTGCCTGGCTGAGCAACTCAAGCCTTTTATCCCAGGACTCATGAGGCAGAGGCAGGAGGATCTCTGTGAGTCCGAGGCCATCCTGACCTACATAGTGAGGCTATGTTTCAATTAAAAAAAACAAAGAACACAAAAAGTTTCCTGGGACTGGAGAGGATGCCCAGTAGTTACCAACTTTCCATTTCCAGAACCACATGGCAGTGCCCAACCATTCATAGGCACGAAAATGTATGCAGACAAAACACTTATGCACATAAAATAAATCTAAATTTTAAAAAATCACATTTAGACCATTGATGTGTCTCTGCCAGGTAACAGTGTTGTAAGCCCGATGACCTGAGTTCAGTCCCAGAACCCACATGGCTAGAGAGAGCTGGTTCCCACAAGATGTCCTCTGACCTCCACAAGTGCAGTCAGGATATGTGCAACTCCACACACACACAGACACCCATGCACACACAAAGTAAGTAAATAAACACATGCAAAATTGTTGCCAGGCGTTGGCAGCGCACACCTTTAATCCCAGCACTCGGGAGGCAGAGGCAGGCGGATCTCCATGAGTTCGAGTTAGCTTGGTCTACAGAGCGAGTTCCAGGACAGCCTCCAAAGCCACAGAGAAACCCTGTCTCAAAAAAACAAAAAAAGAAAAAATACTTTTATTCATGTGTGTCGGAGTGAGACTCCCACGTGCCACAGAGCTTGTGTAGAGGTCAGAGGGCAACACTGCAGCGATGTTTCTCTCTTTCTACCATGTAGGCCAGGAACTCAAGTCCTCAGGCATGGCTGGACAGGCTTCTGCTCTCTGAACAGTTGTGCAGGCCCTATGGCTTTGTTTACATGTGTGTGTAAGTGTGTGACTGTGTGTGTTCTGGGTGTGTGTACATCTGTGTGTGAGTGTGAGCATCTGTGTGTAAGACCTGTATGTGTATGAGTGTACATCTGTGTGTGTCTATATGTGAGTGTGTGTATCTGGATGTGAGTGTGTGTATCTGTGTGCATCTATGTGTGAGCATGTGCATCTATGTGTGAGACCTGTGTGTGTGCATCTGTGTGTGAGTGTGTGCATCTGTGTGTGAGTGTGTGCATCTGTGTGTGAGTGTGTGCATCTGTATGTGTGTTCATCTGTGTGTGTCTGTGAGAATGTGTACATCTGTGTGTGAGACCTGTGTGTGTGAGTGTGCATCTGTGTGTGAGTGTGTGCTTCTGTGTGTGTGTGAGCATCTGTGTGAGTTTGAGCATGTGTGCATGCTCAAGTATGTCTGAGTGTGTCTGTGTGTGAGTGTTTCTGTGTGTGTCTGTGTGTGCATGAGTCTATGTGAATTGTGTGAGTGTGTGTTTGCTTGTGTGTGTGTCTGTGTTTGTGCATTGGTGTGTCTCTGTGTGTCTGTGTATGACGTGAGTGTATATACACACACCTTGGGTGCTATTCCTCATACACAGGTCACCTACTCATCATTACTATTTTTTTAGTGTCTGACAGGCCTGGGACTCAATGCTCAGGCTGACTCCAATAGGAATCCTCCTATCTGCAGCTCCCAGAGACTGGTGGCACATACCACCTTCTGTAGACCAGGCTGGCCTTGAACTCACAGCGATCCTCCTGCCTCTGCCTCCCAAGTGCTGGGATTAAAGGCGTGCACCATCCCCACCCCCTCTGTTACTTTGTTATACCAAATAATGAGCTGACTCCCCTTAATACCCCACACCCCCTGACTCCGTTTGTCCTCCTGGTCACCTTCATACATATGCGTGATTATATGTGTTGCTATAAAATCTAGAACCCACTTCGGTTTTGACAAAGATGGTCCTCAGTGAACTGCCCTGGAGAGCAGAGCCTCCTGACTCTCCTGCTTCTGCTTCCTGGCCTATAGTCACCATTCCCGCCTCAGAGCTGACTCCCTGTAGCCTGAGACCCTTCCCTTCGTGTGCTGGGGTCCTGATTTCAATCCTGCTATTTTTACTGCCCTCTATACCTACAGGGCTCTCCCTATAGAGCCTTGAAAAATCAGTGCAATACCAGGTTGAACTCACAGAGTTTCTGTCACAGCACAACATCAAGGTTCATCAGAACAGAATGTGACTGGATCTTAACCTCATTCAGGCCCTGCCAAAAAGGACCCAGTGAGGGGCTGGGGGTATGGCTCAGTCGCATGGCCTGCAGAATCCTAGGTTCCATCCTCATGTCCAAACTGTCTTCTAATACTTAATGCCTTGGCTTCACCACCTGCAGAAGAGATCAGAACAAATCTTATGGTTTTGCAACAGCTCATCTGAGTTCAGACCTGGGAACCCAGGAATCCTAAGGCTTCTGATTTTGTTTGTTTTGTTCTGCTGTTTTTCTTTTTCTTTTTCTTTGTTTTACTTTTTGTTTTTTTGTTTTTTTGTTTTTTTGTTTTTTGTTTTTTTTTTTTTTTTTTTGGTTTTTCGAGACAGGGTTTCCCTGTGGCTTTGGAGGCTGTCCTGGAACTCGCTCGGTAGACCAGGCTGGTCTCGAACTCACAGTGATCCGCCTGCCTCTGCCTCCCAAGTGCTGGGATTAAAGGCGTGCGCCACCAACGCCCGGCTTGTTTTACTTTTGGAGACAGGGTTTCTCTGTGGCTTTGGAGACTGTCCCGGAACTCTTATAGACCATGCTGGCCTTATACTCACAGAGATCCGCCTGCCTCTGCCAACCAAGTGCTGGGATTGAAGGTGTGCACCATCAACGCCCTGCAAGTTTTGCTATTTTTTTTTGTTTTTGTTTTTTGTTTTTCGAGACAGGGTTTCTCTGTATTGTTTCGGAGGCTGTCCTGGAACTCGCTCTGTAGACCAGGCTAGAACTCAGAGAGATCTGCCTGCCTCTGTCTCCGGAGTACTGGGATTAAAGGCGTGCACCACCACCTCACTCCATTTTAAATTTTAGACAGGTATCACTGGTAAGGTCACTTCAGGCTGGAGTGGTGGGCTGTGAGTCCCCTGCAGGGTCCCCATTGCTCCCTTGTTACTCAAAGATTTAATTCCCTTATTTTCTTTCTTGCTTGTCACAAATATAGCTCTTTTGTGTGCTTTGAAGTTTTTATAAGGGAATGCATCTGTCGTTCTTTTCCTGTTCTTTTCTTTAAAATCGATTTCATTTACTTTTAAGACGGTTTGACTATGCACTCTAAGCTGATCTGAAACTCACTGTGTGGACCATGCTTGGCCCACAGCTGCAGCAATCCTCCTGCCTTGGCCTCCTGAGTGCTGGGGTCTCACTCATGTGCCTAACAGTGGCAGCTTAGGTGTCTTTTCACATCCTGGATGTGTGTGGAGGCCAGCGGTGGCTGTCTCCATCCTGCGGTATCACTCTGAGTCTTCCCTAGAGACAGGGTCTCTCACTGGCTGGAGCTATGCTGGTGGCCAGCAACACCCAGCCATGCCCCTGTCTCCAAGGACGCAGCACTGTATCCACCCAGTTTCTTCAGCTGGCAACTGGGATGGAATCTCAGGTCCTCCAGAGCTCCACCCCTGAGCCACGCCCCCAGCCCCTCACTGGGGCATTCTAGGCAGGGCTCCACCCCTGAGCCACGCCCCCAGCCCCTCACTGGGGCATTCTAGGTAGAGCTCCACCCCTGAGCCACGCTCCAGCCCCCAGGGCACATTATAGGTAGGGGGCTCAACCAGTGAGCTGTGTGACACCTCTTGGTTTGTTCTGTCCGTCCTTTGCCTCATCTTCCGCCTCACACCTGCTACCTCTCCACGTTTCCATCCCTGAAGTCTGTCTCCTCACTGAATCCTCTCCCAGCCATATTGGCAGCCCAAGAGGCTGACTAGCCCTCTCTGCAGACGCTCTGGGTTGGGGGTTCAGGGACATCTGAGAACAGAACTTGGCGTGCTGCTGGGGGACCGGCTCCTTCCGCACGGAGCAGCCCAGTTCCCTCCCCCGTTTTACCCAGTTCCACCCCGTGCAGCAGCCCACGAGCAACAGATGGGTAAACGGAGGCACCGGGTGCAGGGCACAGTGAGTCCGGAGCCTGCTAAGGATCCTGAGGATGTCAGCAGAGGCCGGCGTGGAGACAGGGCTGCCACCACCACCCGCTGCGGCCCGAGGGGGTCTTTCCAGAAACCTCGGGCCTGCGCCTGAGTCCCAGGGACAGAACTCAGCTCGGCAGGCCCCGCTCCTGAGCAGGGCGTCAAAAGAGAAGGCGAGGTTTTCAGAATTGTGAGCTCGCCCAGCGCGCGGGGGGGGGGGGTTCCAGGAAAGGGGTCCTTCTAGCTCATTGGCACTCGGTGGCTCAGAGGTTTGGGGTTTTTTGTGCCCTGTGCTTTTTGAACATTGCTCAGTATCCTTCACGAGGTTAAAGGTTGCGGTGCACTGGGACCTGAACACTGAAGTGCGTGCTGGATGCTCCGGCCGGGACAGGCCCAGGGGATTCCAAGGATGCGCGGACAGCCGCCTGGGAAGGGCCCCCTCTGCCCCTCATGTCCCCGGCAGCGCCCCTTCCTTCCTGCCCTGCCTGCCCGTCACCAGGCTCCTACCCCGGCAGGGTTTCGAGTCCCCCGCCCCGCCCCGCCCCACGGCGCCCTGACTTTCGGTAAGTGAGGCGGCCAGGAAGCTCGGGGGCCGCACAGGAAGGAGCGGGGACTTTCCTGTCGCAGCCCCGGCTGCCGCCGCCTCGGCGTGCCTGCAGGTAGGAGCTCGGGGCGCGGGCGCCGGGAGCGGGGGGCACAGGCGCGGGGCGAAGCCGGGGACACCGCACCCGGCGGCCGCCGCGGTGCGCATGCGCCGCGGGCTCCCCGCCCCCATCCTCGGGTCCCAGGCGCGGGGAAAAAAAGGGCCCGAACTTTCCGTTCGTTCGGGAAAAGCTGCTACTCCTTTAAGACTCGTGTCCGCTTTGTTGTTTTATTTCCTTCATTTTGTATTTTGAGCTGGAACGGCCTGGAAGCCGCCATGCAGCCCCCAGTCTCCCCAGGAGCAGGATGGGTTGGGGAAATGGTGGTGACCGGTTTTATTTTCATATACTTAAGCGTCGTTTGCATTAATTTTATTCCGGGGAGTGTATTGCTACGGCGCAGGTTGGGAGGTCAGAGGACAACCTGCCCGGGTGAGGCTCCTCCCTCCACCCGGGGGTCGGCAGGCCTGGGCGAGCGGCTACCCGCTGAGCCGCCCTGCCTGCCTTATTAGTCCTTGAGACAGGCCTGACTGGGTCTCTCTGTGAAGCACAGGCTGGCCTCTAACGCCCCCAGACCCGCTTGCCTCTGTCTCCTGAGTGGGCAGAGGTGGCCACCACGCCTGGCATCAGTTTATATATTTTTATTTACTTTCTTTTTATGTGATGCTTTGGCTTTGTTTTGAGTGGTATTTGTTGAGTCGGAGTCTCTGTGTAGCCCCAGCTGTCCTGGAATTCGCTCTGTAGACCAGGCTAGTCCCAGACTTACAGAAATCCACCTGCTGTGCCTCCTGACTGCTGGCACTAAAGCCCGGGCCCCCAAGGCCGGGTCCACGCGACCGTCATCTTCACGAGGGCGGAGGCGGAAGGGGCCCTGGCGGGGCTGCTCGCGTCCGTCTATCTGCTGTGGCGCTTTTTAAATGCAGTCTCCGGTGCTTCGACCTTCCGGTCTTCTGCCTCCATGGAGTCCTGTGGGGACGAGTGTGCGCCCCCACGCCCGCCTTTGCTGTTTTACCGTGGGAGGGTGCATGCGCAGAGTCCTTCCTGGCTCTGAGGCGGCGGCGGGGCCGAGGCCCTGCGGCTGTTTCCTGCCCCTGCCCTGGGCCAGCCCCAGCTCTGCAGGCGGTGGAGAGGCCCGGCTGGGACGCGCTGTGCGTGGAGGCGAGCAGGGTGGAGAGAGAGGCCGGGAAGGGTTGAGACACAGCGTGGGCCACAGACCTGCGCACAGGGAACCCATCACACAGGCGCAGAGGCTTCTGGCCCCAGCTCCGAGTCCCTGTGACCTGAAAACCCACAGGAATGACAGCCGTCGGTCCCCAGCCTCCCTCTCCTGCTCGGCCCTGTTTCTGCTGTGGATTGCTCCTGCCTGCCCGGAGACTTGGCCTGGCTGGCTAGGATGGGGCGGAGGGCTGTGGGTCACTTGGGGATGGCTGCCCCTGGGGGCCTGCGCCTGTTCGGCCAGCCCCGTCTGATTCGGCTCTCTGCCTCTCTAGCTCGCACTCATGGCGCCTCCCGGCGAGGAGACGCCGCTGGTCCCTCGACGCTCTTGCAGCCTGTCGTCCTCGGAGGCAGGGTCCCTGCATGTCCTCCTTCCTCCCCGGGGACCTGGGCCTCCCCAGAGGCTGTCATTCTCTTTTGGGGACTACCTGGCGGAGGATCTGTGCGTGCAGGCGGCCAAGGCCTGTGGTGAGTAGGGCCCTGCATGACTGGGCCATTTGGTAGGACTGAGCAAGACATCTATTGGAAGAGGAGTGCTCAGCAGTGGTGCCGGGGCTTTGAGGGATGAGTAGAAGTTTGGTAAGGGAGGGGCATGGGCTCAGCCTGTGGTGATGAGCCGATGGGTCCATCCCTCCAGGCATCCTGCCTGTCTATCACGCGCTCTTCGCTCTGGCCACGGAGGACTTGTCTTGCTGGTTCCCCCCGAGCCACATCTTCTCCGTGGAGGACGTGGACACCCAGGTCTTGGTCTACAGGCTCCGGTAGGAAGCGCCCCCCCCCACCTTCAGGGTGGCGTCACTACTCAGAGGAGGCGGGCTGCTGGTGCAGGTCACAGCACATCAGTGGCCTCTTGGGGCTCTGTAAAGCTGAGGGTGCCGCCCCCCTGAACCCCGCAGCTTCTATTTTCCTGACTGGTTTGGGCTGGAGACTTGCCACCGCTTCGGGCTGCGCAAAGATTTGACCAGTGCCATTCTCGACTCGCATGTTTTGGAACACCTCTTTGCCCAGGTATGCGGTGGGGATGCGCAGCCCGGGCATGGGGACCCCGGGCAACGCCCTCCCAGCTCCGGCCTCACCCGGCCACCTCCTGTGCCTGACCCCAGCACCGCAGTGACCTGGTGAGCGGGCGCCTCCCAGTGGGCCTCAGCCTGAAGGAGCAGGGAGAGTGCCTGAGCCTGGCGGTGTTGGACCTGGCCCAGATGGCTCGCGAGCAGGCCCAGCGGCCAGGCGAGCTGCTGAAGGCCGTCAGGTGAGGGCCCCGGGCCCCCTGTCCCGGCGGGCCCCCTGTCCCGGGTCTCCATTGGCTGCGAACCTGGGGTGCTGTCGTTTTTCCCTTACCAAACTCATTCCCAAGGCCGACCCCTGCAGCCGGCCACCCTCGCCCTCAGCCCGCCTCTGCCGAATAGTCCCTGATGTTTGCCCCGCGTCCCCGCTCTGAGACCCGACGTGCGCCCCCCCCACCCTGAGACCCGGCGTGCGCCCCCCCCTGAGACCTGGCGTGCGCCCCCCCACCCTGAGCCCCGGCGTGCGCCCCCCCACCCTGAGACCCGGCGTGCGCCCCCCACCCTGAGCCCTGGCGTGCGCCCCCCACCCTGAGACCTGGCGTGCGCCCCCCACAGCTACAAGGCCTGCCTGCCACCCGGCCTGCGCGACCTGATCCAAGGACTGAGCTTCGTGACGCGCAGGCGCATCCGCAGGACCGTGCTCCAGGCTCTGCGTCGCGTGGTCGCCTGCCAGGCCGACCGCTACTCGCTCATGGCCAAGTACATCCTGGACCTGGAGCGGCTGCACCCGGCGGCCGCCGCCGAGACCTTCCGCGTGGGGCTCCCGGGTGCCCAGGAGGGGCCGGCGCTCCTGCGCGTGGCTGGGGGCAGCGGCGTCGCCTGGAGCCCCGGGGACCAGGAGGTGCTGGGGGCGGGGCTCTGGAGGGGCGGGGCCTGCTAGAGGCCGGGCGGTCAGTAAGGAAGGCGGCCAGGGGCAGGACCAATCGGGAGAGCGCTTAGATGCCAGGGTGGGACGGCTCAATCGGGGGAACCAATCGGGTAAGGGGACAGTCGGGGCGGGACCGACGGGTCGGGTCAGGGGCGTGGCCAGTCAGTAGGCGGGGTTAACGCGGAGCGGGACCGGCCGCGCCGCGGGCGGGGTCAGGCAGGTGGCGCTGACCGCTCAGGGATGGAACCCCGGCCTCCGTCCGTCCTTTCCTCGCCAGCTCTTCCAGACCTTCTGTGACTTTCCCGAAATCGTGGACGTCAGCATCAAGCAGGCCCCGCGCGTGGGTCCGGCCGGGGAGCACCGGCTGGTCACCGTCACCAGGATGGACAGCCACGCCCTGGTGGGCTTGGGACCCGCGCTCGGGCGGGGCGGGGCGCGGGACTCCGCTCGCGCTGAGGACTTCTCCCGCGCAGGAGGCGGAGTTCCCGGGGCTGCCCGAGGCGCTGTCCTTCCTGGCCCTCGTGGATGGCTACTTCCGCCTGACCTGCGACTCCAGGCACTTCTTCTGCAAGGAGGTGGCGCCGCCAAGGCTGCTGGAGGAGGTGGCAGAGCTGTGCCACGGGCCCATCACGTGAGGAGCGGGTGGCCCTTTGAGACACCGCGGGTCCCGGGCAGAGACGGGGACACACCTGGGGGCGTGGCTGGGCGCGGCGAGAAGTGACCGCGTCCCGCTCGGCTTGTGTCCCGGCCTAGGCTAGACTTCGCCATCCACAAGCTGAAAGCCGCCGGCTCCCGCCCGGGCTCCTACATTCTCCGCCGCAGCCCGCAGGACTATGACAGTTTTCTTCTCAATGCCTGCGTTCAGGTTGGTTCACTGCGGGTGGCTTCCTGGAGGAGGTGACATCTGAGCTGGGACAGAATCAGGAGTATTCGTTTTTCCTTGAAGTGCACCGGCCTGTAATCCTAGAATTCAAGAGGCTGAGGCAGGAGGATCAAGTTTGCAGGCCAGCCTGGGCTATTTAGAGAGACTGAGCGTCAAAAACTGTCGGGGCAGTTGTCTCAGAGGGAAGCCCGAGGATGCGAGCCGGATCCCCGGCGCTCAGACTGTGGGAGGACCCCACTGCGCACCCTGCTGGCTGACCTCCACACGTGCATAGGAATAAATGTCATTTTAAGCTCACATTCCCAGCACCTAGAACAGCGCTTGCAGAGGCTTGGCGGCGGCATGGGTGGGGCTCTGCTCCCCCCCCTCAGGCCGCGCTCCCTTACAGACGCCCCTTGGCCCGGACTACAAGGGCTGCCTCATCCGCCGGGACCCCACGGGGGCCTTCTCCCTGGTTGGCCTCAGCCAGCCTCACCGAAGTCTCCGGGAGCTCCTTGCAGCCTGCAGGCATTCTGGGCTGCACGTCGATGGTACCGAACTGAACCTCACACTCTGCTGCTCGCCCAGGCCCAAGGGTGAGCTGGGCGGGAACCCGGGAACAAGGGGCAGGAAAGGTCAGGCTGTCCGTCCTTGGCGTGGTCTTGGGCGTGGCCTGGCCCAGCAGATGCTGGGTCTGTACGGTCTGCTGTTGTGGTTGCCACCGCTCCTGTGGGTGAATGTCAGGAGTGACTTCTGGGCTTCCCCAGGCTTAGTGCGGAGCGGGGGACGCTGGGGAACTTTTGCTTCTGACCTCTGACCTCTGCTTGTTTGCCTCTGCACCCTAGAAAAGTCCAATTTGATCGTGGTGAGAAGGGGCTGCACCCCTGCCCCACCCCCTGGCCGTGCCCCATCCTGCTGTGCACTGACCCAGCTGACCTTCCACACGATCCCTGCTGACAGCCTGGAGTGGGTGAGGGGTCAGGGCGGGTGAGGGTCCCCGGGCTGTGAGCTGGGGCTGGGCCCTTCTGGGGGTGCTGGGGGCATCTGTCAGCCGTGGTGTCCCCTGCAGCACGAGAACCTGGGCCATGGCTCTTTCACCAAGATCTACCGAGGCCGCCGTCGGGAGGCCGTGGACGGTGAGACTCACGACACGGAAGTCCTCTTGAAGGTCATGGATGCCAGGCACCGGAACTGCATGGAGGTGCGCCGGGGCCCATGCAGATCGGCATGGAGCCGGACCTGTTGTCCTGTCCTAGCACTTGGGGGACGCTGAGGCAGGAGGATCACTGGGACCTAGAAGTTCAAGGCCAGAGGGACATAGAGGGACTTCATCAGCTCGGCCTGGTGGTGAAGGCAGCTGTAGACACAGCCGAGCAGAGGTCCTGAGGCTGGGGCCAGGTGGGGGCGTTACTCACGCGGGGCGGGGCGTGAGGTCTTCAAGGCAGGGCCAAGGGAGACTTCTGCTCTTCCCCAGGCCCACCACATCATGAGAGGCTCAAGCTGGCCTCTAGCAGGACTTCCAACACACTCTGGGTGCATCACAACAGCTGTGAGCCTCACAGTGGGGACGGGTGGGAAGGAATCCACGCGTTTTCCGCTCTCCCCTCCCCAGTCCTTTCTGGAAGCCGCAAGCCTGATGAGCCAAGTATCCTACCCGCACCTGGTGCTGCTGCATGGCGTCTGCATGGCTGGAGACAGTGAGCCCCGCCCTGCACGCACCCCGCCCAGCCCTAGCCCCTCCCCCACCCCCTTGACCTGCAGCGCCTGTGACACACCCCACGCTCACCACTTCCCGCCCCAGACCAGTGGTCCCGGCCCCGCCTTGCTGGCCAATTGCTGTGCAACATTGCACCTCTTGCGCACCTCTCTGACTCTCCGCTGCGTCTGTTCAGCTGAGCGGATAGTAAATAAAAGTCCAGTCCGTGCTGAGCCCAGGGCGGCGGGCAGAGCCTGCTGAGGACTGGGCCTGGCCAGCAGCCCCGCTGTCCCCTTGTCCCCAGGCATCATGGTGCAGGAGTTTGTCCACCTAGGAGCACTTGACATGTACCTACGCAAGCGCGGGCCCCTGGTGCCGGCCAGCTGGAAGCTGCAGGTGGCCAAGCAGCTAGCCTACGCCCTCAACTACTTGGTGAGCACCCCATGCTCACAGGGCCCTGTGGTGTGGATAGGAGACGTCTCAGAGGGAGGAGCAGGGCATGAGCTCGGAGGACTGAGAGCATCGGGAGGGAGATCTGTGCACCCGCGGGTGTCAGGTGGGTGGTGAGGCCAGGCTGGGGAGAAGGCCTTGTGAAGAGAGTGAACCTTAGACTTGGGGCTTCCAAGGTTGAGTAAGAGTTCATTAATAAGGCAGGTGGTGGCGGCACACACCTTAGGTTACAGCACTCGGGAGGCAGAGGCAGGCGGATCTGTGAGTTCAAGGCCGGCCTGGTCTACAGAGCGAGTTCCAGGACAGCCAAGACTACACAAAGGAGCCCTGTCTCGAAAAAACAAAACAGAAAAAGAGATCAGGACAAGTAGGGCAGGAACAATTTGATGGGGGTAACGAGAAGAGGGAGAGCAGTCTTGACGACCAGGTTACTGAGCTTTAACTGTCCTGGAGCACTGGGAATGTGAAGGAAGGGAGGCGCTCTGGTCAGGTCAGCAGAAGGGGCTACAAGACACCAGCAGCCCGCGGGAGATGCAGAGCCTGCTCTCCCTGCTCGCTCTCTCCCTGCTCTCCCTGCTCCCCCTGCTCTCTCTCTCTCTCTCCCTGCTCTCTCTCTCTGCTCTCCCTGCTCTCTCTGCTCTCTCTCTCTGCTCTCTCTCTCTGCTCTCTCTGCTCTCTCTCTCTGCTCTCTCTCTCTGCTCTCTCTCTCTGCTCTCTCTCTCCCTGCTCTCTCTCTCTGCTCTCCCTGCTCTCTCTGCTCTCTCTCTGCTCTCTCTCTGCTCTCTCTCTCTGCTCTCTCTCTCTCTGCTCTCTCTCTGCTCTCTCTCTCTGCTCTCTCTCTGCTCTCTCTCTCTGCTCTCTCTCTGCTCCCTCTCTCTCTCTCTGCTCTCTCTCTCTCTGCTCTCTCTCTGCTCTCTCTCTCTGCTCTCTCTCTGCTCTCTCTCTCTGCTCTCTCTCTGCTCTCTCTCTCTCTGCTCTCTCTCTCTGCTCTCTCTCTCTCTGCTCTCTCTCTCTCTCTGCTCTCTCTCTCTGCTCTCTCTCTGCTCTCTCTCTCTCTGCTCTCTCTCTGCTCTCTCTCTCTCTGCTCTCTCTCTCTGCTCTCTCTCTCTCTGCTCTCTCTCTCTCTCTGCTCTCTCTCTCTGCTCTCTCTCTGCTCTCTCTCTCTCTGCTCTCTCTCTGCTCTCCCTGCTGTCTCTCTCTGCTCTCCCTGCTGTCTCTCTCTGCTCTCTCTGCTCTCTCTCTCCCTGCTCCCCCTGCTCTCTCTCTCTCCCTGCTCTCTCTCTCTGCTCTCCCTGCTCTCTCTGGTCAGCATCCCCTAGGCTTTGCCGGAGTCTGCCTAACAGTGTTCATTCACCAACCGCCCACCCACTTCCCTGTGCCTGTAACACTTAGGAGGACAAAGGCCTCCCTCATGGCAACGTGTCAGCACGGAAGGTGCTCCTGGCTCGCGAGGGGATGGATGGGAGCCCACCCTTCATCAAACTGAGTGACCCTGGCGTCAGCCCCACGGTGCTGAGCCTGGAAAGTGAGTGCAGGCTAGCTCCCGTGGCTGCCCCGCGTCCCGGGTCTGCGGCCATGTGCAGTCACACAGGGCGCCCACGGGTGCGGGTGTCCTGAGGATGACCGCGCCCTCCCTCGCCCCCCAGTGCTCACTGACAGGATCCCCTGGGTGGCCCCCGAGTGTCTGCAGGAAGCCAGGACGCTCGGCTTGGAAGCGGACAAGTGGGGCTTTGGCGCCACCGTGTGGGAGGTTTTCAGCGGGGGACCCTTGCACATCACCTCGCTGGAGCCCGCCAAGGTGGGGCAGCCACGGAGCTGGGAGCCCGCAGGGACTCGGGAGGGGGGGCGAGGTCACGCGACGGCTCTCCCTCGCCCCCAGAAGCTGAAGTTCTACGAGGACCAGGGGCAGCTGCCGGCCCCCAAGTGGACGGAGCTGGCGGGGCTCATCGCGCAGTGCATGGCCTACGATCCCGGCCGGCGGCCCTCCTTCCGCGCCATCCTCAGGGACCTCAACGGCCTCATCACGTCAGGTGCGGCGGGGGACGAGCCGCGGGTGGGGAGGGCCCCGCTGTGCGCGGGGAGGTGGCGGCTCCAACAGTCAGTGCGAGCTGACTCAGCCGCAGCCGCAGGCACTCGGCATGCATCTGCTTTGCAAGGTAGCCCAGGCTGGCCCCCGGGGGTCGGGATTAATCTTACATCTTGTGGACACGGTGTTGCCATCTGAGGCGTGTGGAGTCAGTTTGAATCCGTGGTTCTGTGCGTTACCCTGGGGCCCCACAGAGAGTGCCTCTGCCCGGACCCTGATGACTCCCGTTCCCCATGAGGCACCCACGGGCTGGCCACCGTGCACAGCAGGCATCCGGGGCGACTCAGAGAGACCCCCCACTTACACATGTGACCCCCAGACTATGAGCTCCTCTCAGACCCGACACCCGGCAGCCTGAGCCCCCGAGACGAGCTGTGCAGTGGCGCCCAGCTCCACGCCTGCCCGGACCCCACCGTCTTTGAGGAGAGGCACCTGAAGTACATCTCTCTGCTGGGCAAGGTGAGGGGGCGGGGCGCGGCGCTGGGCGGGGCGCTGGGCGGGGAGGGGCGCAGGCGCTGGGCGGGGCGGCGGGCGGGGCGCAGGCGCTGGGCGGGGCGGCGGAGGCGCTGGGCGGGGGCGAGGCGCATGCGGATGCCCGCCCCGCAGCCCTCAGCCCCCGCTGGCCCCTCATCCGCCCAGGGCAACTTCGGCAGCGTGGAGCTGTGCCGCTACGACCCTCTGGGGGATAACACGGGACCCCTGGTGGCAGTGAAGCAGCTGCAGCACAGCGGGCCAGACCAGCAGAGGGACTTCCAGCGGGAGATTCAGATCCTCAAGGCGCTGCACAGCGACTTCATCGTCAAGTACCGGGGAGTCAGCTACGGTCCGGGTGAGTGGCGCCTCCTGCGGCCCCCGAGCCCCAGCTTCCACGGCCGCGGGTGCACGCGAGCGACCGTCGCCGTCCGCCCGCAGGTCGCCAGAGCCTGCGGCTGGTGATGGAGTTCCTGCCCAGCGGCTGCCTGCGGGACTTCCTGCAGCGCCACCGCGCGCGCCTGCACACCGGCCGCCTGCTGCTGTTCGCCTGGCAGATCTGCAAGGTGCGGCCCGCGCAGGGGTGGGGCCGGGGCCCTGGGGCTGGGGGCCCGGCCCACGCGCTCTCACGACCCCTTGCAGGGCATGGAGTACCTGGGCGCGCGCCGCTGCGTGCACCGCGATCTGGCTGCGCGGAACATCCTGGTGGAGAGCGAGGCGCACGTGAAGATCGCGGACTTCGGCCTCGCGAAGCTGCTGCCGCTCGGAAAGGACTACTACGTGGTCCGCGAGCCGGGCCAGAGCCCCATCTTCTGGTGCGAGGCCCAGACCCCGACGCCGCGCTCCCTGAGACCCCGCCCAGGCCCCACCCAGGCCCCGCTGCAGCGCTGCCCTCGCAGAGGCCAAGCCGGCAGCAACGAGGCCCCGCCCACTTCCCAGGGGGCGGTCCAGCCAGCTTAGCCACGCCCCTCTGCTCAGGCTCGCCCCGCCCAGGCCCTGCCCCTGGCCGTTTCTTGCCTGGCCCCGCCTCTCCCCACGGCCCCGCCCTTCATGCTTCTCCAGTCGCCCTCCAACAGTGTCATCCACTCCACTCTGTCATCTTACTCGCCCCTCCCAACTCTGGCTCCTCCCCTCACGCAATTCGTGCCTAACTGCCCATTATCCAAAGCTTAAGTGTCTCAGGCTCCGCCCCACACTGGCCACGCCCCTTTCCTTCCTGACCACACCCAGAACTGTGATCTAACCACACGCTTGTCCTACCCTCAGGTACGCCCCAGAATCCTTGTCTGACAACATCTTCTCCCGCCAGTCTGACGTGTGGAGCTTCGGCGTGGTGCTGTACGAGCTCTTCACCTACAGCGACAAGAGCTGCAGCCCGTCCGCAGTGAGCCGCCTGCCCCGCCCCCAGCCCGCCTCCTGACCCCAGACTCCTCCTCCTGACCCCAGGCTCCTCCTCCTGACCCCAGACCTCTCGACCCCAGACTCCTCCTCCTGACCCCAGACTCCTCCTCCTGACCCCAGACTCCTGACCCCAGTCCTCCCTCCTGACCCCCCAGCCCGCCTCCTGACCCCAGACCTCCCGACCCCAGATTCCTCCTGACCTCAGACTCCTGACCCCAGACTCCTCCTCCTCCTCACCCCCAGTCCTCCCTCCTGACCCCCCAGCCCGCCTCCTGACCCCAGTCCTCCCTCCTGACCCCCCAGCCCGCCTCCTGACCCCAGTCCTCCCGACCCCAGATTCCTCCTGACCCCAGACTCCTGACCCCAGACTCCTCCTCCTCCTCACCCCCAGTCCTCCCTCCTGACCCCCCAGCCCGCCTCCTGACCCCAGTCCTCCCTCCTGACCCCAGTCCTCCCTCCTGACCCCCCAGCCCGCCTCCTGACCCCAGTCCTCCCTCCTGACCCCAGACTCCTCCTGACCCCAGACTCCTCCTGACCCCCAGTCCTCCCTCCTGACGCCCAGTCCTCCCTCCTGACGCCCAGTCCTCCCTCCTGACGCCCAGTCCTCCCTCCTGACCCCAGTCCTCCCTCCTGACCCCCAGTCCTCCCTCCTGCAGGAGTTCCTGCGCATGTTGGGGCCTGAGCGTGATGGGCCAGCGCTCTGCCGCCTGCTGGAGTTGCTGGCCGAGGGCCGCCGCCTCCCGCCACCTCCTGCCTGCCCCATGGAGGTAAGGGAGGCTGACTCAGTTTCCCAGGTTCCATCTTTTTTTGGTTGTTTTTTGTTTGTTTGCTTGTTTGTTTTTCGAGACAGGGTTTCTCTGTGGCTTTGGAGGCTGTCCTGGAACTCACTCTGTAGACCAGGCTGGCCTCGAACTCACAGAGATCCGCCTGCCTCTGCCTCCCGAGTGCTGGGATTAAAGGCTGCACCACCACCACCCTGCTCAGTTTCCATTATTGATTGACAGGCCCTAAATTGTGGTTACTGCGATCCAGGCAGAAGAGGGGTGGGGGCGGGCAACCGGCCGACTGAATTTCTGTCCGAGCTCGGCAGAGCCCAGGTCCCGCAGCTCAGGCCCCTCCCGCCTCTCCCCTCCCCGCCCCCGGGTCCCGCAGCTCAGGCCCCTCCCGCCTCTCCCCTCCCCGCCCCCGGGTCCCGCAGCTCAGGCCCCTCCCGCCTCTCCCCGCCCCCAGGTCCAGGAGCTCAGGCCCCTCCCGCCTCTCCCCGCCCCCAGGTCCCGCAGCTCAGGCCCCCCGCCTCTCCCCGCCCCCAGGTCCAGGAGCTCAGGCCCCCCCGCCTCTCCCCGCCCCCAGGTCCAGGAGCTCAGGCCCCTCCCGCCTCTCCCCGCCCCCAGGTCCCGCAGCTCAGGCCCCCCCCGCCTCTCCCCGCCCCCAGGTCCAGGAGCTCAGGCCCCCCCGCCTCTCCCCGCCCCCAGGTCCAGGAGCTCAGGCCCCCCCCGCCTCTCCCCGCCCCCAGGTCCAGGAGCTCAGGCCCCCCCCGCCTCTCCCCGCCCCCAGGTCCAGGAGCTCAGGCCCCCCCGCCTCTCCCCGCCCCCAGGTCCAGGAGCTCAGGCCCCCCCCGCCTCTCCCCGCCCCCAGGTCCAGGAGCTCAGGCCCCCCCGCCTCTCCCCGCCCCCAGGTCCAGGAGCTCAGGCCCCTCCCGCCTCTCCCCGCCCCCAGGTCCAGGAGCTCAGGCCCCCCCCCCGCCTCTCCCCGTCCCCAGGTCCAGGAGCTCAGGCCCCTCCCCGCCTCTCCCCGTCCCCAGGTCCAGGAGCTCAGGCCCCCCCGCCTCTCCCCGCCCCCAGGTCCAGGAGCTCAGGCCCCCCCTCTCCCCGTCCCCAGGTCCAGGAGCTCAGGCCCCCCCCCGCCTCTCCCCGCCCCCAGGTCCAGGAGCTCAGGCCCCTCCTCGCCTCTCCCCGTCCCCAGGTCCAGGAGCTCAGGCCCCCCCCTCCCCGTCCCCAGGTCCAGGAGCTCAGGCCCCCCCTCTCCCCGTCCCCAGGTCCAGGAGCTCAGGCCCCCCCGCCTCTCCCCGCCCCCAGGTCCAGGAGCTCAGGCCCCCCCCGCCTCTCCCCGCCCCCAGGTCCAGGAGCTCAGGCCCCCCCCGCCTCTCCCCGCCCCCAGGTCCAGGAGCTCATGCAGCTGTGCTGGGCTCCCAGCCCGCAGGACCGGCCGGCCTTCAGCGCCCTGAGCCCACAGCTGGACGCACTGTGGCGTGGAAACCCTGGGTAGCAGCCAGGGGTGAGCGCCTGCCGGCTGGCTGTGTGGCCGCAGCAGGGAGCTGTCCACCTCTGGGCGCCACCCCCTACCGTCCCAACCTTTCCAGAGCGGGCATATTAAATATGTGACCCGAGGGTCTGTCAGCTGGACTTCTGGGAATGCTTTCCTGCCACGCCGCCGCCTGCACAACTCCAGGACACCTGGACCAACACGCTCCGCTCAGCCAGAAATTGGCCCAAACGCTGTCTCCTGACCCCAGGCCTGCGACAGCATCTGTGTAAAGCTCCCATCTCAGTCCCGGGGGCTCCTTGCGGGCAGCGAAGCCTCAGCAGGGCCTCCTTACAGGATGGGCTCTGGGAGCGTTCGTTGAGTGAATAAATGAGTTCAATAGAAAAGACGGTTTGTGACTGGAGTTGGGGAGTTGGAGAGCTGACTCGCATGCGGCTCGGGCTTGGGACCCAAGTGTGGGGTTCTGGGGAAGGAACAGCTGGGAGGAGAGGCCTTGGTTAGATTCAAGGACACCCTCTCCCCTCCTGCCCAACTGCGGTCCTTGACTCGCTGGGGGCTGGGGGTTGGTCCCAGGCAGGGACAGTCGGAGGCCAAGGTCCGAGCTGGACGGTGCCCGAGCTGTGCACCCCAGCACAGGGTCCCAGCACAAGAGCCCCAGGGAGAGGAGCAGGGAACAGGGCCAGGTTCTGTCCTCCCCTCTCCCAGCCTCAGTTTCCCTCCTGGACAAAACCAAGTCATAAATGCCCCCTCCGACCTCCTTCACAGCCCAAACTGCTTCCAACTCACAGCAATCCTCCTGCCTCAGCTTTCCCAGTGCCAGCAAGACATGTGGGAGCCACCCTTACAAGAGGAGGGGCACTTGGTTTGTTTTAAAATGCTGGGAGGTCCTGGCACCTGGGAGAGGGACTTCAGGGTCCCCGGCTGGACACACAGCCCCCGGCCGTGACCCAAGCATCGACCTTGTGGGTGCTGCACACGGTGTTCCCGCCAAGGCCCCTGGGCGGCGCGAGGCAACTATAAGGCGGCATCGGCGCGGGCCGCCTCCGGCCACCATGCGTGCGCTGCTGCTGCTGCTGCTGCTCCCAGCTCTGGAGCTCGCACTGCGACCCCCGCAGTCCCCTGAGGCGCGTGACAAGCTCTGTGGCCACCACCTGGTGCGCGCGCTTGTGCGGGTGTGCGGGGGCCCACGCTGGTCCCCCGAGGCCACGCAGCCCGTGGATGCCGGTGACCGTGAGTAGGGATGGGCGGGTTGGCTCGAGGAAAACGGAGGGGGGCAGACCAGACACGGTGTCGCCCCCAATAACGGGAGACTGAGCGCTCGTGGATTTTTTTAAACTTTTCCCTGTTTTTGGATTTTTGGGACGGGATCTTATATAGCTCAGACTGGACTCAAACTCACAAGGTAGCCGAGGATGACCTTGAACTCCTCACCTTAGGCTTGCGTGCTTGGATGACTGGCATGAGTCGTCACCATCAGGTTTATTGTTTATTAAAGACAGATTTTCACTATGCAACACAAAAGTGACCTCAAACTCCCAGGAATCTTCCTGCCTTGGCACCCCAGTGCTGGAGTCCCTGACATATGGCTCTCCCTGGGGGCGCGGGAGGACTCCACCTCCAGCCCCAGGGGACAGAGAACCCTCTGTCCCTGTGCACAGCTGTGGGTGGCTCTGTCCCTACACTGGGGGTGCTGCCCAGGAAGCCACAGGGGATCCCAGTCCTGAGCACAGTCCTAGGGACCCCGGCCTTCCATGCCCAGAAACTGGGGCGCACAGGGGTATATGGGGACAGTTGGGAGGTGAGTGTGAGAAACTGGGGCGCACAGGGATATATGGGGACAGTTGGGAGGTGAGTGTGAGAAACTGGGGCGCACAGGGGTATATGGGGACAGTTGGGAGGTGAGTGTGCCAGGTGTCTGGGAGGACTTCAGCTGACCCCTGCTCGGCCTGCAGGGGAGCTGCTTCGGTGGCTGGAGCAGCGGCAGCTCCTGCATGCACTTGCGGCTGACATGGACCCCGCTCTGGACCCCGGCCCACAACCTCCTCTCCAGGCTCCTCAGCGCCACGGCCGCAGCGCGGCCACCAGCCCCGTGCACCGATGCTGCCTCACCGGCTGCACCCAGCAAGACCTGCTGCGCCTCTGTCCCCACTGAAGGGGCTGGGCTGAGGCGGGTCCTGATGCCCCGGGTCCATACCTCCCGGAACCCGTGTGAATGCAACACCCGTGGTCTACTTCGGAGGAGTCCCAGAAAAGGATGGTCACATGCCCTGTCCCCGGAGGAGCCTCCATCATGGCCTATGTCCCCCTCCCCGCTGTGTCCTGAACATTCTAAATAAAAAAGCAATTTCATACATTTTCTCTGTGAAAAGTCACGGGGTGGGGGGTGGCAGCGGCGGGCTGCGACTCTGCTCCGGCCACACACGGACCTGAGGTGACACCAGGACCCACTAAGGAAACTGGACACTTGCTGCTTGGGAAAGTCAAGCGAGTGTGAGCCCTCGTAGGGATACTTAACCCCAAATCCTGGACTAGGGCTCAGGACAGGCACAGAGTCCTGTGTCCTCAGGTGACGCAGGACTCAGGCTGTACCAGCAACAGCCTTACACCTGTCACACCGGGAGCAGGGTTGTTTGTGATGAGGACATATGGAGGTCCCCAGCAGGTGTGCCCTGGGTGGGGGCGATGGGAGCCACAGAGGGCGCGTGGGCGAGAGCAGTGCGCGCGTGGGCGAGAGCAGTGCTCCCCTGCCAAGCGTTCCAGTGTGAAACGCCCACCCCTGTCATTCTGCCCCTCCCCCCACCCTCTCATTTACAGCCCGGAGAGCAGAACTGACCCTGGGGGGGGAGGGGTTGCAGTCTGCACGCAGGGGGCAAATCACTCGCCCCCTTCAGCCTTCCACCTCCGTTGACACCTCAGGTGTGAGGTATACAGTAGGTGCACAAGAGACAGGAGGGAGCTAGGGTGGGGGGGTCGCCTGGCACTCTCCAGGGTCTCCAGCCAGTGTCCGCCAGAGCTTGGAGGTGGAGATGGGAATCGGGAGTTCATCAAGGATGACCATAGTCATCCTTGTATAAAGGGAACTCAGGCCAGCCTGGACTACATTAGACCCTGTCTCTAGGAAAACCAAACAAACAAACAAAGCAACCCACAGGGTGGTAGGCGGTGTAGGGTCACATCTCTGAGGTGCTGGCTACAGAGACGGAGGGTTCTGGATGGTTCTGAGTTCCACAGGCCTAGGGTGTCAGGAGCTGTGGAGGGTGTGAGAGCCAGGCTGGGAGACAGAAGCTGCATCCAGCTTGACCTTTGGAGAAACAAAACAAAACAAAACCCTCAAGAATGATGGGGGAGGAAGCAGGGGCCGGCGGATCTCTGTGAGTTCGAGACCAGCCTGGTCTACAGAGTGAGTGCCAGGACAGCCTCCCAAACAATACAGAGAAACCCTGTCTCGAAAAAACACGCCCCCCTGCCAAAAAAAAAAAAAAGCATGAATGAATGGGGGAGGGAGCATGTGGTACTTGTTAGGACTCAGGCATCCATGCTGGCCTGTCCTTGGGGTTCTGACAGGACACGCCCTCAGCTGCAGCCACTAAGAGCACCACCTGTGCACATTCGCTCATTCCCTTTAAAAGGGCCCCGCACACCTCCCAGCCTTCTCTTTTTGTCTCTTCCTCTCCTGCTGCTCCCATCCCCGGAGGTCGGTCCCCACTTCCCCTTTTTATGATTCCTTTCCCTAATTAAAAAAAAACCTTTGCTTGAACCCTGTCCCCAGGCGTCTTTCTTTCTTGTGCCGCTTTTCTTAAATTACAACAGTCCTGAGACATAAAGATGTCACAATGGGACGCTCGAGCTTGCAAGTCAATAAAATATTAAAGGTAAAAGAGGGCGGAGGAGGGCAAACAATCTTAGAACATGAATGATGGTGAAAAATACAATAAAAAGGGGACTGGCAAGAGGGCTCGGTGAAGAGGCGCTTGCCGCCAAACCCGAGGATCAGAGTTCGAGCCCCAGGAGCTACACCGAGGAAGGGGGAACCCTCCTCGCGCCCACGGCGTGGCATACACAATGAAACAATAATTCTGAACCGATAAAAGGAAAAGGGGCCGAATGCCAGACACTGGGAACTGTCACCTTCAGCCGTCAACAGGTTTTATCTCCTGCCACCCCCATCTGTGGGACACCGAACCCCTCCTACCCTTATGCTGTTCCCTAAGTCCTTGGGAGACACCACTGGGGCCAAGTCAAGATCCGCCTACCGCACTTGGGGATCCGAGGGAGGCTGAGGCCCAGCGCAAAGCGGGAACCTGACACCAGGCCCCCGCCCCTTCTCAGCGGCCACTCAAAGGCCGCTCACATTTGGCTCCATCCAGAGGGCCTGCTGTGAGTAGTACCAAAGGGTTTTGAAGCCTACATAGGAGTTCGCTGGGACCCTCACCCAGACACCGCACGAGGGTAGGGACAGGAGCAGGGTGGCTGCTGAGCCCCCAGTCTCAGTAGACCCTGCCCTTCTTGCCACAGGCGACCTGGGGCTGGCTCAGCGCGTCCCACATTAGCAGGGTCTCGTAGGGCAGGAAGCGGTGCACCAGGAGCAGGCTCTGGTAGAAACAGGGGTCGAAGGAGGAAAGGCGGGGGCTGGGGGCTTGCACCCCCGCCGTGCGCACCCCGTTGTGCGAGGCGGGCGCCAGGCCCTGCTGCCGCAGGCACATGCCCAGGAACACGTCGTCGATGGGGAAGACCGGGAGGACGCGCGCAGCGTGACTCAGCGCAGCCGCCGTGAAGCGTGACAGCAGGAAGCCGCCGCCGCCGCAGTAGGGCGGGTAGTGCTCGTCCGCCGACACCAGCGTGGGCACGAAGTACTTGCTCCAGGGCACCCGGATGGGGCCCACGTTCTGGATCAGGTGACCCACGAAGAGGTGGCGGTCCGGGTCGCGGTCCTGCAGGTAGGTGACCATGTTGTCCGTGTGCGCGAAGACGTCGTCGTCCCCGTTGAGCACGAAGCTGGCGTTGGGGCAGCGAGTCCGCTGCCACTCCAGGAAGAGGACCTGCGGGTGGAGTAGGGGACGCGAGGCATGGTGGGGTCCCCGGGCCTGCGTCGCACAGGCCTTCCCCTCCCCTGCGTGGGGCTCTTACGCGTACCGAAGAACCCCACTTCCCTGGCTCACCTGCTTCAGCGTGAGGTTAAAGAAGGAGTCGTGGAAGTCCCACTGGAGGATGTCGCCGTGCGCCCGCGCCTCCAGCTCCAGCAGCCGGTTGAGCTTGCGCGCCTGGAGCGGGTCGCGGTCGCTGCCCACGAGGAAGAGGCGACGCAGCGGCGCCCCACGCACCTGCCGCTCGCGCGCCCACGTGTTGCGCAGCACCTGGCGGCGCCCGTAGTTGGCCGGCGACGACTTGATGGCGAGCAGCAGGAACACCGGCTGTGCGCACTTGGTGGCCCGCGGCTCCCGCAGCAGCGGGAAGTCTCGGCAGTGCCGGTACAGCAGGAAGTCACGCACGTGCGTGGGCAGCGCCGCGAAGTCGGGGTGCGAGGCCACCGACAAGTTGGCCTGGCACGGGGCGGGGTCCGCGCGCGGGGGGTCTGGGGGCCACGTGGGGACTTCCTGGGGCTCTGAGGACCTCTCGGGGGCGGGGCAGGCAGGCGGCGACACGCGAGACAGGAGCAGCAGCGCAAAGACCACCATGGCCAGGAGGAGGCTCACCTCGGGGCGCGGCCGGGGCAGCCGCATGGCGTCGGAGGGGGTGCCTAGAGCGAGGCCACGGGAGCTGTGCTCCCCAAGACACAGCACCTGTGGACGGATAGGCGCGCTCACGTCCTCCTGGCAACCCCTCCCACCCACATTGACTTTCAAGGGACTTGAACCCAGACCCGGTCCTCACAGACAATTCAACCCCAGCTGTCTCCTTTGGCAAACTCCTTTCCTCCCTCAAAGCCCATTTTGGATGTTCCATTTTCCAGGCATCCTTCACTGGCTGACCCTCCTGTTTCCTCGGACTTCTGGCCTCGGCCTGGTCCTGTGTCTGTCCGACTGCTCCGGGTCCCAGCCCCGCCCAGCATGCAGTGGGCGAAAGGCAGAAAACACTGGATGTTTGTGGTAAACTCTTACAAATCCACCAGAGCCCCAGCTCGAATGAGCTCACTTTCAAAACTTATTTCCCATTGACACAAGGCCGTGTAGCCCAGGCTGGCCTCAAACTTGCTGTGTAGCTAAGGATGGCCTTGAGCTGTCAGTCCTCACCCCCTAGGTGCTGGAATGACAGTGTCACCAGACCTGGCTCTCCCTCCAGACCTCGGGGTTCAGCCCTCACTCTCTCTGCAGCCCCTCCATGACTCTGCACATGACCTGTGCTTTCTGTTGTCTTCTAGGCCTGCACGGTGCTACTGCAGCATGCAGATGCTAGATGAGACTCGGAGCAGGACTTCCTCCACGGGACACTTACCCTTCATCCCTGGAGACGGGTGCTGGCCCCACACGCCCTGGCTGTGCACCCACATGCCCTGACCTGGGTGTCTGCAGGTTTAGAGGGGACGCCCACGCCCCTCCTGTGTCACAGCACACAAAGCATTTCCAGCAACAAGCGTTTGTGGAATACCTTCCGAACCTTGGCTCTTACCTCAGTCTGTCTTGGGGTACTCCCAGTGAGCCAGACTGCCCTTGGTCTCCTCAATGGCACCTGGAACAATGTGGGTGTTAACACAAGTCCTTGAAACTGTAGGTCTCAAGCAAAGCCGCAGCTAGTGCCTGGACCAGGCCCCGGCTCCGTGCCATGGGTTCTGCTGTGTGAACCTCCAAGTAAAACAAAATGGACCCCAGGGAAAGTGCTGGAGTCTTCCTACCCCAGGACCTTAGGGCCACACGGACTGTTATTGATTTGTAAAAACCCTTTGCATAGGAAAGGTTTTGTTAGCTGTGCTGTCCTTCAGCCCCTCTTAATGGGCAGGTCCCTGAACAGCAGTCAGACCCTGCCCCATGGCTCCTGTGGGTTTGAAATGCATCATTAGTTCATTCGTTCGTTCACCTGATGGATACACATGGGGCTGTCAGGCTTTTCCTGAAGTTTGAGTAGCTTCAGTCAGAGTCAGGGAAGAGACTCCTTCTGCCTAGGCTAGACCTCTGTCAGTGCTTAGGCTAGACCCCTGTTAATGTAGCCGAGATCTTTAGATTTTGTCAAGCCACCAAAGCTCCTGTTAAAACCTCAAACATGCCAGGTCATGGTGATACACGCCTTTAGTCCTAGCACTATGGAGGCAGAGTCAGGCAGATCTCTGTGAGTTCAAGGCCAGCCTGGTCTACACAGTGAGTTCCAGGACAGCCTAGGCTACAAACTGAGCCCCTGGCCCAAAAGCAATAAATAGAATTTTCCTCATCCCGTCATCAACTATGAGTGCAAGAATCCAAAGCACCTTAATTCCGGACAAGACCCTGAGAGCCAGGCTCCTACAGAAGGAAGGCGAAAACAAGTAAATGGACTGGGATACCGAGGCCGAGGCTCTGAAGGGTGCGTGCACAAAGCCCTGAATGACAGGTCAGAGCACAGACGGACCACACAGAGAAAGGATCTGGTCCACTCCAGGATGCCCCGGCACAGTGTCAGAACCCTGAGGTCCCAGAAGGCCTCGGGGAGTCGGGGCCATTCTCTCCCCACGCAGGGAAGTTACTTATTTCACAGGTCAGAGCCCAGGAGCCTCTCCTGGAGTGCAACCATGGGGACCCCCAAGCTCCAAGGGACCCTCCCTCCCATGAGCCTACAGCCCAGAGCAGCTTCAAATCCTGTTCCCACCAACAGAGGGGGCAGGAGGCTCAGGGAACCCGCTTTCCCTTGGTGGCTGCCAAGTCCACACATCCACACGGGAATGGAAGCAGCATCAAATGCCAGCAAGAGAGGAGGGGCCCGTGAGGACCAGAGGGAGAAGCTGGAGCAGGCTGCGGGAGTGACAGCCTAGGATCCCCCCCGGAGGGGCTGGGAGCATGGTTGGGGTTGCAGCCCATGAGGAGCACATGCTAGGCAGGGGACTACGCCCCTCACTCACTGTATTGGTTGGTGGCGCATGTCTTTAATCCCAGCACTTGGGGGGCAGAGGCAGGTGGCTATCTGTGAGTTCAGGGCTAGCCTGGTCTACAGAAGTGAGTTCTAGGCCAGCCAGGGCTACACAGAGAAACCCTGACTCAAAAACCAACCAACCAACAAACAAACCAAAGCTCAAAAACATAAGAAGTCACAGGTGGCCGGGCGGTGGTGGCGCACGCCTTTAATCCCAGCACTTGGGAGGCAGAGGCAGGCGGATCTCTGTGAGTTCGAGACCAGCCTGGACTACCAAGCAAGTTCCAGGACAGCCTCCAAAGCCACAGAGAAACCCTGTCTCGAAAAACCAAAAAAAAAAAAAAAAAAAAAAAAAAAAAGAAGTCACAGGTGTGTGCAGCAGAGGCCCAAAGACAACTTTCTGGATGTTTGAATATTCCTGACTCGGAACCTGAGCTCCCAGTCTCTGCTGTCCCTGAGGCCTATCATTTCGCAGCTGCTGTTCCAGAAATAAGAGCAAGAAATAAACATTTTGGGAATTAGGCATAACTCTTTCTTTCCCAGGGTTGAGCTCGTCCAGGAGCCTGTGATAACTGGAGCCCATGGGTGTCACAGCCTGGACTATGAGGATTACTACTGCCATTGACTGGGAACTTCTGTGACCGCTGTATACACAGACACCAAGGACTCACTGAATATGAACAAGACACTAATTACAAATGAGTCACCAGGGTTAACGAGCTACAAACAACCCACAGAACATAAAAAGCATTCTACTTGTTAATGAGACACTGCATATTAATGTGTCGCCAGATATTAATTATTCGGTGCATATTAATGCGTCATTGGATATTAAGGGCACCAAGTACTCACGAGGCACTGGCTAATAAAAGCACTGGGGATGAAAATCAAAGCCCCACTACTGAGCATGCGCACCACGACCCCAGTGACCTGATAGGTAAACAGCCCACACCTTATATTAGTGGCCCAAACAAGGTGTTAAGGACTTGTGTTTCATAGTGACGGTGTGAAATTAATGAGTTTCATCCTAACATTAATGACTCGCTGAATACTCATGACAAGGTTCGAACCCTGCTTCTTGATGAAGAGCTGAACTAGCAAGTCATGGTATTCCTGAGCCTAGCAATGGCTGTCTGCACCTTTGGGGACATTCTCAGAACGCTCTGGGACATTCTCCCAAAGACTGCGGGCTGTAAATGAGGTCGGAACTTCTGGAAGGATCCCATCTGGGTGCCCAGGTCCGCCTTGGTTCCCAGCTGGCAAGCAGGTCACAGACATATGCCCAGGGTCACCCAGCGCCAGGCTGGGCAGAGCGAGCCGGACACCAGCTCTGACGCCAGGGTGGTTCTCACCGGATTGTACCAGCTTGCCGTTACGTTGGCAAGTTTCTCTTTACAAGGAGCGGGGACTTTTATGAACAAAAAGATAACTCCTTTAAATTATGGGAAGCCTCTGCCAAGTGTTCCTGGTGACCTGGCTGCCCCGCCCCTTCCTGTCACTTCCTGGTGCGGGGCGTCGAGCCGCTGGCAAGATTCAAGGAAGGTCGCCCTTCCACCTTCTAGGAACCCGGAAGGAAGCAGCCAGGGTTCTGGACCATCAGCCCAGACGGAGAAGTGAGGCCGGGAAACTGAGGCCGGGAAACTGAGGCTGGGGAGCTGAGGCCGGGTCCTCGCTCCCTTCAGTCAGCAGCAGGACTGCACCTCACAGCCTCGCAGCCTGGCTTCTGGGGCCACCCCGAGCCCCCACCTGTCCTAGCGGGTCCCATCCAGCCAATCGACTTCTTGCATTTACGTCAATATTACAACAATCACTTTAATCTCCCAGAGTAATCAAGAATAAAGCAAACACACCCAGCTCCACCCTGCTCAGAGGCCTGGGGACGCCGAGGCTGGGGTCGGTCAGCCCTGGGATACCCAGCACAGGGCAGGGCCCGCGGGACTCTGGACCTCTGCGGTCGCAGAGATGTCCCCCGGACTCCCAGGGTCCTGGCAGCCTGAAGCCCTGTGGAGACCAGCCAGTGTCCCCTGCGGCCACACCTTCCTCTCCCGACAGTGGCAGTCCAGGCGAGAAAGCGAAACTGGCTCCACACCCACCCTCGGGAGCCCAGGGAAGATGACCGGACGTCAAGGCCAGGCTCGGAACGGGAACGGGGAAGGCTGAGAAAGGAAAAAGGCAAATCACCCCAAGGCGTCAGAACCTTGGCTAGCAACACACGCTCTCGTTATTTAACGTGCTGACAACCCACTGAGTGGCCGTCGCGCCTGGCAGATCACCTCCACCACTGCCTCATGCCAATAGAGGGAAACTGAGGCTTGCAGAACTAATGCTTCTCATCCGAGCTTCCCCGGTGTCAGCGAGAGGACAGAGATTCAGAACTTCTAGAAACACCACAAACACAAACGGGGGGAACCGAGTCAGGGCCGCAGCCACTGGGCTATGCGGGCAGAAACTGGAGAGAAGCGTGGGCTCCTGACCCCGGAACGTGGCCAGGACCAGGGACCCCTGGGCCGATGCAGCCGATGCCCCGCGGTCGAGGACGCGCTGGAAGTCCGGCCCGGGCGCCCCAGACCCCAACTACGCTCCGAGCCCCCTGAGGCCACGCCCACGCCCACGCCCACGACCCCGCCTCTGGGCCCCGGACTCACCGTAGGAACCAGCTCCAGACAGCAGAGAGGCAGAACGGTTTTCACCAGGATGACTCCCCGCCCTGGCTCTTGGCTTCTCGCCTCCTTCCGGCCTGTTTCCCGCCCTGCCCGCAGGTTCCTTCCTCCAGCCCCGCCAGCTTCCTAGTGGCCAAGGAGAAAGTCCACCTAGCACTGTTCCCCGGCCTCTCTGGCTCTTTTGACCCGCCCTTCCCATCCTGTTCCCCACCTGTGGTCCCACCCGTACTGTGGCTCCTCCCCTCCCTCACCTAGGGCCTCCTCTCCTTTCTCCCACCCCACTGTGAGGGAGCAGCCACCACCCCCCAGCGCTGAGCTGTGCCAGCCATATCTGTCTTGTAGTTACCCCTGCTGCAGCCCCCCAGCCCAGCCCCCCAGCCCAGCCCCCTCCAATCCAGCCCCCTCCAGCTCAGCCCCCTGCCTGGCTCAGCCCCCTCCAACCCAGCCCCCTCCAACCCAGCCCCCTCCAGCTCAGTCCCCTCCAACCCAGCCCCCCAGCCCAGCCCCCTCCAGCCCAGCCCCCTCCAGCTCAGTCCCCTCCAACCCAGCCCCCTCCAACCCAGCCCCTCCAACCCAGCCCCCTCCAGCTCAGTCCCCTCCAACCCAGCCCCCCAGCCCAGCCCCTCCAGCCCAGCCCCCTCCAGCTCAGTCCCCTCCAACCCAGCCCCCTCCAACCCAGCCCCCTCCAACCCAGCCCCCTCCAGCTCAGTCCCCTCCAACCCAGCCCCCAGCCCAGCCCCCTCCAGCCCAGCCCCCTCCAGCTCAGCCTCCCCAGCTCAGTCCCCTCCAACCCAGCCCCTCCAGCCCAGCCCCCTCCAGCTCAGCCCCCCAGCTCAGTCCCCTCCAGCTCAGTCCCCTCCAGCCCAGCCCCCTCCAGCCCTGCCCCCTCCAGCTCAGCCCCTCCAGCTCAGCCTCCCCAGCTCAGTCCCCTCCAACCCAGCCCCCTCCAGCCCAGCCCCTCCAGCTCAGTCCCCTCCAGCTCAGTCCCCTCCAGCCCAGCCCCCTCCAGCCCAGCCCCCTCCAGCTCAGTCCCCTCCAGCTCAGTCCCCTCCAGCCCAGCCCCTCCAGCTCAGTCCCCTCCAGCTCAGTCCCCTCCAACCCAGCCCCCTCCAGCCCAGCCCCTCCAGCTCAGCCCCCCAGCTCAGTCCCCTCCAGCTCAGTCCCCTCCAGCCCAGCCCCCTCCAGCCCTGCCCCCCCAGCTCAGCCCCTGCTGAATGAAGAAACATTTTGCTGGGAGGAGAGAACCCAGAGACTTAGAAGATTCCAGAACTTTAAAACCTGTTGGTAGGTCCTCCGACTCTTTTTTTTTTTTTTTTTTTTTTTTGGTTTTTCGAGACAGGGTTTCTCTGTATTGTTTTGGAGGCTGTCCTGAAACTCGCTCTGTAGACCAGGCTGGCCTCGAACTCACAGAGATCCGCCTGCCTCTGCCTCCCGAGTGCTGGGATTAAAGGCGTACGCCACCACCGCCCAGCGGCCCTCCGACTCTTACATATCAAGATAATGTCACCTGTTCCCCTCCTCGGGAGTTACCCCCAAAACCTGTAAGTCCTGACTAGAGTTTGGGGTCCTAGTGGCCTGCTGCAGGGAGAGGGGGTCCTCCTGGCACCGGCTCCTTACCCCCCGCAGCACAGTGAGCAGAACTGAATGGCACACGGTACAGTGACCCCTCTCTGAGTTGCAATACCCAGAGCACTCAAAACAAGGGGTTATGCCCTTGCATCCGGAGGACCCAGTGGTACTACTCACACCCTGCGGTCTGCCCGGGTGTGGGAATATTAGTCAGCCGTGAAAAGGGAATGAAGAGACAGCAGCCAGCTCACTCCAAATGTATGTATTGTGTCACGAGAAACACACAGGGCAGGGCATCCAGACAAGGAGCGGGGAGGGGTGGCTTGGGGGAGAAATGCTCTGGAAATACTCAGGTGAGGCTGTGTAGGTGGACCATGCTAAACGCCACCACATCATTCCCTTGGAAAAGGCATTTCTATGCAATTGAAAACTCCTTCTCTGGCTAGACTAGAATGTCACCATCTCAGACGGCAGCTGCCAGGCAAAAGTTCACCCCACTGCACAGCTGAGGTTTTGAGTCACCAAGGTGCAAGCAGCCACGAGATGAAAAACAGGTAATGACACCCCACTCAGCGCCCCCCCCCCCCGTGCTACTGAGACTCACCCTTGTGAGATAAGAACCTGTCTGGGGGGCGGGGCTCTCGGAGGAGAGGCCAAGTGAGGGAAGCTGGGCCTGAGAAAAAGGCCTGTTGTGTTTTTAAAGGTGCCTGGCCTTCCTGTTCCTCAAGGAAAGCAAATCCAAGCCTCCTGGAGGTGCCATGTTTTCCGTGCTTATCAGATGGGCAGGGAGACAAGGGCAGATAAACCATGAACTGGGGTGGTGGCTGTGGCCATGCCGACAGTAACCTGCCACGTAGCACCTGCAGCGGCTGGAACAGGGACCAGCCGCCAATCTGCATGCGCACGTGAGAAGGGAGGGTGGCCAAGCCTGCTGCAGTCCCTCTTTCCAGAGGTGGGGGATGTGCTCAACAACCGGGATTCTGAGGTACGAGCAATAATTTACGAGACCGCGGAAACCCAGAGTCCTCTCAGCAGAACATGATGGGAAGGTCAGAGAACCAGAGGTTTTCAAATCAAAGCCTTCCTTTTTCTTGATTATAACACTACGCAGGGGCTCCACCCCCGAGCCACGCCCCAGCCCCTCACTGGGGCATTCTAGGCTGTCACTTCACCCCTGAGCCACGCCCCCAGTGCCTCACTGGAGGATTCTAGGCTGTCACTTCACCCCTGAGCCACGCCCCCAGTGCCTCACTGGGGGATTCTAGGCTGTCACTTTACCCCCAGCTTCTAGGTTCTGCACAGGGATCTTCAGAGCCACAAGGTTGATTGAGGTCTGCACATGTCCTTTGAGACTCAAGATGGACCTCCTCCGTCCTAGGAAGCTGGAGTCACTGCCGACTTGGATCCATCATCTCCTCTTGTGCATATGTGTGTGCTGTGCGCACAGCCTCCCCACAGACCCTGGCTAGCCGGTTGCCGACAAGGAACCCAAGGCTGGAGTCAAAGTCCTTCTGGCTCTAGGGCTTCCAAGAGCTATTTTGTTTGCTAAGATTAATTCTATTTTTTATTCATGCATCTGTGTGCCTCCATCCACATGAGCGCAGTGCCCTCGGAGACCAGAATAGGGCGCAGGGGTCTTGGGAACACAACCTAGTCCTTCTTTTAGGTGCTGAGCCTTCTCTCGAGCCCATTTCCAACCCTGTGTCAGCCTGAATTCATTGATGAATTCCTCACCAAGCCAGCATCTCCCTGGGGTGTGTGTCCTCATGTTTGCAAACTCCTATGTATACCTCAGAACCCTCTAGAGCAGTGGTTCTCAACTTGTGGGCCAAAACTTCTTTGGGGAGTTGAATGACCCTGTCACAGGGGTCACATATCAAATATTTACATTAAGATTCATGACAGCAGCAAGATTATAGTTATGAAGTAACAACAAAAACACTTTTATGGCTGGGCGTTGGTGGCGCATGCCTTTAATCCCAGCACTCGGGAGGCAGAGATAGGCGGATCTTTGTGAGTTCGAGGCCAGCCTGGTCTACAAGAGCTAGTTCCAGGACAGCCTCCAAAGCCACAGAGAAACCCTGTCTCGAAAAACCAAAAAAAAAAAACAAAACAAAACTTTTATGGTAGGTGGTCCCCACAACATGAATTGTATTAAAGGGTCGCAGCATCAGGAAGGTTGAGAACGCTGCCCTACGAGATCAGGAGTTCACCTACTTCTGCCTCCCTTCAGCCAAACTGAGTCAGAGGGTCAGAGGGCAGAGCAGGTAGCCCTGGAGATGAAATGCATTCTGGGTACCAGCACGCACACACACACACACACACACACGTTCCTGGTCTGGAAGACAGAGTGGGAATGTGGATTGCTTTTTATTTGTTAGAAAAGTGTTTATTTAAAGAATACTAAAAGGACCGGGCCTGCTTGGGGGGAGGAGGGAGGAGTCTTGGCTCAGCCAGGCCTGGATGGAGGCTCCTGTCCGCCGAGTCCAGCCTGGGAGCCGGGGAAGCCGCCAGTGGGCAGCAGGGCTGGGAGCTCCGCACCTCAGCAGCTGGCGAGGTACATCCCTGCAGGGACAGACAGAGCAGGACCTCGTGGGCTCCTCCCGCACGGGCCCCAGCCCAGCCCCGCCCTGCACTTACCTGTGGCGAATCTGCGCTTCACCAGGGACATGCGGTAGCCGCTGCCCAGGAGCTCCAGGTCCAGGCCGGACAGCGTGGCGCCCTCGCTGGTGAACTGTGCGGCCACGGGGCTGGGAGTGCTGGGCCCGGTCTGCGGCTGCCAGCTGGCGGACAGGCGGCCCGAGCCTGTGGAGCCTGGGGTCAGGGACTTGCTCCTGCCCTTGCACAGGCCTGTCTGTCCCCTGAGAAACCTACTCTGGGATTCTTCAGGTCCCACTCGCCAGAGTATCCCCAGCTTTCACAAGCGCAGCCCACCCACGATTTCTCCCATGCAGCAACCCGCATTACAGCCGTGACTCACCCCCTGCCTCACACACATCTGGAAGCTTCCACGTGAACTTCTTCTCCTCCGCGTTCCTGGTGGCAAAGGAACACGGGTCAGCAGCCAAGTCACCTGTGCGGGTCCTGCAAACCCCCTGTCCGGCGGAGCCTCGTGTCCCCACCCGTGCGGGGCTGCGGTGTGGCGCAACTGCCCCAAAGCCCGGAAAGCCCTTGCATGTTGGCCTGTGCGTTGGCAGCGGCACTGGGTGGCTCACCAGCTGGCTGCGGGCTGCAGCCGCACGCTGGTCACCGGTTCCCCCACGGGCAGCAGGATTTGGACATTAGTGAGCGGTGTGGACACTGCGGTGGCGCCTGCACGGTAACTGTACTCCACGGTGACCCGCGTGAGCGTGGGCCCGCACTGCCAGTGAGCGCTCATTTGCAGGGGCACTGACTCGGGCCCAGGGCGGGAGAACTTAGGAACGAGAAGACAGAGCTTGCTGGGCGTCACAGCCACGCCACTCTACCGAGCCTGGACCACTAGGACCCGCGCGCAGTACTCCGGGCGGCCAGCAGAGGGCAGGAGAGTGCAGAGGCCAGGCACCACCCTCTAATTCGCCCGCCCCCAGCACCCCACCTGGTAGCGCAGCAGCACCAGGTTGTAGTAGGAGGCCGTGGGGTTCTGCTCCGCCTGGTGCTGCAGGGCTTCTGTCAGCGCCGGCATGTTCAGCCAGAAGTCTTTGGTCTCCGGGTCACTCTGGGAGGGATCACTGCAGAGATGGGACAGAGCATCCTCACCCCGCAGGCGTCGCCAGCCCCTCAGCCTGAGCTGCCGGGGCTGGGAGAGGTAGGGCCAGAGAGGGAAAGCCTCCTCACAGCACACGGCAGCAGGCGGGAGCAGCCCTCGGCCCCGCAGGCCTCTGGGACCCTCTTCCCACCGCCCAGGCCAGGCACCTGAAGATCAAGTCGGCGTTTGGCTGAAAGTGTTCTACTGGGGCCGCGTGCACCAGCCGGAAGCTGAGGACCGGTGGGGGTGGGGTCCCGCTGAACACTCGCACAATGCCCGCCGGGAAGGTCATGGTCAACTCCCCGGTGACTCGAGCCAGGCAGCTGGGAGGCAGGGGACACCGGGTGTGGGACCAGGACTCCGCATTTCCTATCCTCCTGGCTCCACTGGCACCCACAGTCCCTGAGAGGCTCCAACTGTCCCCAGCACCCTCTCCCCGACTTTCCTCCTTCATCCCTGCCCGACGGGGTGAACCCCGCCACCCCACTCAGCCTGGGCTAAGACAGGTATTGTCCCGAGGTCCTTAACCCCCTGAACTACCAGGAATCTCGACCCACAATAACTGGTGTTTGAGCACCCCAAGCTTGGGTTTAGGGTCTAACAATCGCCTCCGCTTTGAGGTCTCCTTTTGCCAGCCCCAGGGATGACATGCCAGCTCCAGGGTTCACCACAGACACGCCCCTACCCCAATTTCCTTCCGTTCAATACCCACGGCCTCCTTAGAGGAGCCTCAGGGTTCCCTAGCCTCAGTCAAAAGCCTTCAGGCTGACATCGTCCCTGCGACCACCTACCTGGGGCTGTGGCCACGGAAGTAGGCGTGGACGTACTCAGTGAAGGCTGTGGCCACAGGCAGGGTGTCCTGGGATCCTAGGACCACAGGGCTGGGGCCACGGGAGACGCCTGTGGGAGGGTGCGGTCAGGAGCAGGGCGGGCCTTCCCCACTTAGCTACCATCCCAGACAGAGATGCAAGGCTCCCAGGGGAGCCGTCCACAAACCGTGTCCCACTTGGGTGGAGAAGCTGGGCCGATCCGAGGCGATGCTGGGGGCAGACAATCCCAGTGGGGAGGGGCTGAGGGACCGGCACTGCAGGGCACGAGAGAACCGGGCTGTGAGCCGCCCAGAGCTACCCCTTCCCGACAGCAGCCGCCTCGCCACCGCGCACTACGTCACCCACCAGGTCACCGTTGCTCCTGGTGAGCGGGCAGGACACTTTCCTGGACCGAGGTCTCCTGGGTGGCGCAGCCAGGCCCTCCCTGGTGGTGGAGTCGGCAGGCATCGTGGAGTCTAGAGTGAGGGGTGGGAGGATATTAGCCCCCAAGAAGAAACAAGGGGCCGAGGGCTTCTGGGTAACGCCCCAGGTAGAAGGTGGTATGAAAGGGTGTGGAGGAGGCCCTGGTGACTTGGGAGGTGACTGAGCCACACCCTGGCCTTGGCCACTGTCTTCACTCCTCGTGGCTCTGCCGAAAAGGCAGATTCTCTCCCATGACGCCAGCTAACTGCCCGTCAGTCTGACTGGGGCCTCAGGTGGCTCTGAGAGCCTGACCGCTCTCTCCTGTCCACTCTCCAGCTACTGAGGCTCCAGGCCAGGTGCCTTCCCGGCAGCCCGGGCGGGCTGTATGCCCATTCGATGACATCTCCATTCAGCCTCGGCCACAGGGCTCAGCCAGGCTTCCTTCAAACTCGGAGTCCATAGCTGTCTTAGGCCCATGCATCCTCCTCGGCGCCCGGACTCCTGCAGCTCACTCCCAGACTCCCGGCGCGGAGGGGACTCCGGTGCCACCCTGGCCAACTCAACACCTGCGCCCTCCTGCCCCAGGGCCTCTGCTTGACCATCAGATGGTCCTACCTAGGAAGGCCTTCACCTGTCGCCCAGCCTGCCAGGGACACCCGCTAGGCTCACCTGCGCCTGCCTCTGGCCCCCAGGGGCCTGGCGAGGGCCCACGGGGCATTGGGCCCCTGGCCTCGGGGTGCTGTGCCCTACAGGTGGGTGGACTCTGCGGAGTGCCTGGCCGGGGGACCCAGGACTCAGGGGACGGGCCGGGGGCAGCGTGCGATGGAGAGTCCAGGCCCGAGTCCTCCACATTCTCCGGGGACGAAGAAGAAAAGGGGGATGGGCTGGATGTGAAACCCAGGCTGCTGGAGCCTAGGAGGGAGAAAGGCCAGGGGCGTGGTCAGCACGGTCCACGCCCACACCCAGCTATCACCTACCATATTAGTAGACCCTCCGTCAGGCCACTCCCACACCCATGCCCCTCCAACCAAGGCCCCACCCACTGTCCAGCTCTCCCTGCTGCACACCCCCTCTACCCGTGAAGTCCTCGTGGTCAAAGGCGGACTCCAGCGGTGGCCCAAAGAGGCTCTTGGACAGCAGCTCCTCCGAGGCCAGGGGCTTCTCAGCACAGCTGGGGACGGGACAGGAGTCAGAGCCTCACACGGCACCTGAGGCTTTCCCACAAGCCACCCCGTCCCCTGTGCCGCCACGCTGAGACCATGTTTTCAAGAGCTTTGACCGTGTTGCTTGGTGAGGCAGGGTCTCACTCTGCCCAGGCTCCTGAGCTCTAGCGACGCGCCAGCTTCATCCACAATTAAAGTCACTAGGGCATCTGTGAGGACAACCTTGTCCACAGGCCTCTGAGGCCCAGCCGAGCACAAGTACACAGCAGGCGCCTCATAAGTGTCCAACAGCCTCATAATGTCTTTAGTCAGCCCGGGGCAGGGACCTGGAGCCCATCTCAGTTACATCCCGCAGGACCCACCTGCCAGTCCGTGGGGCAGACCGAGGTCTCTGTGGCTTCCCAGAAGTGTCCCCTAGGACAGACAGAATCGTGAGCTTCTGTCCCACCAGGACTGTGGCTGGCATTTGTCAGCCAGAGGCCCAAGGTGACAGGCAGAGCGGTAGAGGGGACAGCCAGCCAATCCCAGTTTCCAGCCAGCCAACCCCAGTTCCCAGCCAGCCAATCCCAGTTTCCAGCCAATCCCAGCTCCAGCCAGCCAATCCCAGTTCCCAGACAGCCAATCCCCAGCCAGCCAACCCATTTCCCCTCCAAGGCACCTTCTAACCCTCACAGACCAGGCTACTCACTCGACGAGTGCCGTTTCATGGTGCCCTGCGGAAAAAGGGAAAAATCAAGCTCAGGCTCTTGCAGACGCCTGGCCCTGTGCCCCTCCCGGTCCCAGTCACCCAGCTCACCCCTGGGCCTGGCGGGAGGATGAGGCTGCCTGCTGTGGCTCTGAGCTGGGCAGCTGCAGCCTCAGAGCTGCAGGTCACAGTGCGTGTGGGGGCAGGCTTGATGTGAACGTAGAACTTTCTAGGCTCTTCATCGTCAAAATCAGAGTCACTAGAGGAGACTCGTGGGGGCGCGGCCGTGCGTGGGCCTCTGTCAAGGAGTCAGTCTCGAATGCGATCACACGCCCGGACACGGAGGCCCTGTACAGTCAGTTTCCACCCCTCATTCTCAGGAAGCTACCTGGGGAGTTTCTATTCAGCCATACTGGTGCTCTTCCTCCAGGAAGCCTTCCTGGATATCCCACCATAAAAGTCCATCTGTCTCTGTCCATCTTTATTTTAGACCGGATCTCTCTACGTAGCCCTGGTCAGCCAGGAGCTCACAGGCTGAGCTCAGCTTCCAAGACCCGCCTGACTCTGCCTCCCTCTGGATGAAGGAGGTGGGCCACCACCGCCTGGCTCTCGGAAGGGCACAGGACAAGGCCTGCTCCTGGCCCTCCTTGGTGCACAGTAGGACTCTCCCAGGGGACAGGGAGTCACAAAGAAAGGATATTATTATGCGGCACGTCAGGACGCACAGTGAACCCTTCTTCATCCACCTCAGGAGGCACCTGGGGGTCAGGTCCCTCTAATGACCCCACCAGAATAAACTCCAGGGATGTGGGCAAATCCAAGGGAAACTGAGAGCTTCTAGTCCCGCACATGGGGACCACAGAGGGGAGATCTCATTCCGAGCCCCACCCTGGGCCCCTCTTCCGGGGATCAAGCCCCGCCCACCCACTGCCCCTCCTGCACAGGACTCACCCCTGAGTCAGACTCCAGGAAGTCCCTAGGGACAGAGGAACAGGGGTGAGTGTCTGGAGCCCCCAGAAAGGATGCCCCCATATTGCCCAAAGCTAGTCCATAGGTTGGGACCTTAGGGCTTGTTTGAAAATGTGGGGGGCTTCTAGAGGCAGCTGAGTGAGACACACCTCAAACAGTACGACAGATGAGCTAGCCTTGGCAAAGGGAGGGATCATGGCCAACCTAGGCTACGATGGGCCAAGCAGCTTCTGGCCCAGCCCGGGAGAAAGGAGTAATTCTAGTCTAGTTTAGGGGAGTGACTCTCTTGGGGTAGCATGGGACAGAGATCTTCTGGGCTAGTTCAGGCGGAAGTGATCCTGGACAGTCAGAGATAGGGAAAGTGCCACGGGGGGGGGCTCTGTGCTGGCTGGGACAAGGGTCGGGACTTGGGGTAGCCTAAGCCAGGGTGGGGCACTTCCTCACACAGATGTGCGGGGCTCCCGCCGGCTCAGTCCTGGAAGGCGAAAGGCCTTGGCTCCTCGGAGACGTTTCATTGCTGTTGACAGAAGGAGGGCAGCTAACCTCTAGAAGGTTCTCCCCCTTTCTGTGCAGATCCCCTGGCCTAACCTGGGCATCCAGGCCCAGACGTACTTGCCTTCCTGCAGGGCGGCTGCACTGTAGGCATCAAAGTCCACAGGCCCTGGACAGAAGAAAAGGAAGCGTTAGGGCAGAAGCAGGCCCGCCAGGGGCAGGAGCAGGCCCGCCAGGGGCAGAAGCAGGCCCGCCAGGGGCAGGAGCAGGCCCGCCAGGGGCAGGAGCAGGCCCGCCAGGGGCAGAAATCCACGGCAGGAGCCGGAGGGCGTGAGCGGAGGCCAGGCACGGAGGCCTCTGACTGAACATAGAGACAGCATGGAGGACAGCTTTCCTGGTCACCTGGGTCTTTGGACAAAGTGGGCCCACAATTAGGGGATGGCGATCTCCACGTTATCAATGAGGAAGCAAGCTCAGAGAAGTCAAGACATGTGACTAAGGCCACACAGCAAGCAACAAGAAAAGGACCCAAACCCAGTCTGACACCAAACAAGGTGGGCTCTGAGACTCGGTGAGAAACAGCCGAGCTTCCGAGCCGAACTTTCATGATCCTCTAGGGATTCGGATCTAGACTGGACTATATGAGACCAGCCATCAGATGTCCCTACCTGGGCGGGGGACAGGGAGCGGCCACCACTCCACCTTCCCCGAGAAGAAACCGAGGGCGGGGCGGGGCGGGGGCGGCTGTCACTCACCGGGCTTCTCGCAACCGGTGCCCTTGGTCTCTGCAAACTTCCTCAGGAGCATGTCCACCGTCACATTTTCCACGTTCTGCTTAAACTCCTCATGCACCTGGGTGAGTGGCGGAGAGGGCATGAGGGGGCGTGGCCTCCGTGGGGCCGGACGGGAGGGCAGGGCCCATCCTCACCTGCCCGATCTGTACATGTGTGTCCTCCACTGAGTGAGCGTAGGAGCCCAGCAAGGCCTTCATGTGCTGCAGGTGCGACTCCTCCATGGCCTGAAAGCGCTGAGATGGGCGGGGCATGTGACCCAGGCTGACCAATCAGATCAGTCCAGATCTCCCACTGGCTTAGGGAAGCACCAATGAGATTCTGCCTTTGAATTTTTGCTGCTATTTCAAAGGACACTGCTCCCTGCACCCTCCGGCTCCCCATGTGCTGGCCTCTGATCCCAGTACTGCAGAGGCAGGAGGATCTCTTTGAGTTTGAAACCAACCTAGTGTACATAGTGAGACCTATCTCAAAAAGAAAATGGCCTGTTAGATTAGAGGCATAGCTACTCTTTGCACACACACAAACACCCCAGCAAGAATGAGGTCCCTAGAAACCAGCGACCAGCCACACAGACCACATCCCAACGACGCCATTGGAACGCCTGACTCCCCCGAACCCACCAAACAAGCTAGCTGGCAGGACACTAGGTAGAAACACCTGCCGCAGCGGGGCCCACCGACTGCCCAGATGAGTAAAACTACTCAGCCTGTGCCCTCAGGTACGAGGCTCAGCTCTCAAGGGCAGTAAACGGCAGCTTCTGCCCAGAACCAGCCTGCTGGACTACCGTAGCGGCGAGGAGACAGCTGCCAGTAGCCTGGCTGGTTAAGGCTTGGCTCATGCGGCCCGAGAGTCACACAAAAAGCCAGGCCCAGACCGAATGATACCTCTGAACAGGTACAGAATGTTTGGAAATCTGCTTAGAACTGAAGAAAGAAAAGAAAATGGGTAGAGACAGTCATAAAAAAAATAGTTAAAAATAATGAAGCCTGCCGGGCATTGGTGGTGCACGCCTTTAATCCCAGCACTCGGGAGACAGAGGCAGGCGGATCTCTGTGAGTTCGAGGCCAGCCTGGTCTACAGAGCGAGTTCCAGGACAGCCTCCGAATCCACAGAGAAACCCTGTCTCGAAAAACAAAAAACAAAAAAATCCTAATAATAATAACAACAAAGTCTTTGGAGAGAGTCACATGAAAAGAATAAGCCACGTAAAGATGGGAAATACACAGGTGTCTGGTCACGGATGGCGTCTTTCTGACTTTGAATTTTCTGAATGCTGATGAGCGGAGGGCAAATGCTGCTTACAGACATGGGACTGCAGAGAAAACTGCTAAATTAAACCAGCCTATGTATTCTAAGGATGTTTTAGCGTCAGTTCCAACTACAAACCCATAAGCAGATCTGTCTAATTGAAGATTCCTACTTTTTCTCAGAACAACAATGCTGGCCTTAAATTTGATATGTAGCCTACAATGATCTTGAATTCCTGATCCTCCTGCCTCGGGTCCCTGGAGCTGGGAGACTGTGGCTGAGGACAGGGCACCCCCCCCCAGGGAGTGTGGGGACCCGCCACCACAGTGTGAGGTTCTCACCAGGGCGGAGTCGAGCATCTTGGTCTCAAAGTCGGCCCTGGCAGAGTTGTACTTATCCACCGAGCGCCGCAGGCTATCAGCTGCCTTCTTGCTTTTGGTTTCTGCCTGGGAATCATAGACAGGGGACCATGTTAGTCACCATGGGGACAATCAGGAGGCTTTACCATCCTGCCAAGCCACCTTCTGAAAAGCAGGGGAGGGGGAGGTGGCCGCACAGTGTGGTGCCCAGCACTGTATGGCATGCTGCCTCTCTCAGGTCAGGAGGCCAACAAACCTTGTCCATCTCCTTCTGACTGGTGTTCTCTCTGCGCAGCCGCTCCAGGTCCATGCAGCGGCTCAGGTAATTCTCTCGAGATTTTGGCAGAAGCTGACCCACGCTGGCCAACACCTGCACCGCATCCACAGTGCCCAGAACTTCCTCCTTGCACTGCGGGTAGGGAAAAGCAGTGAGGAGGCATGGTTAGGGTAGAGTGACAGCCTGGAACCCCCAGTGAGGGGCTGGGCGTGGGCCTGAAGGTAGGCGCTCCTAGTTTCATCCACTCTAATCTGCATGTGGGTGTGCAGGCTCATCTGGGGTCCTGGGTGCCCCAGCACCCCTGCCTGCCTGCAGGGGCAGCCCGCTACCTTCTTGTGGGCCTTGAGCTGCTCCTCGCCGTAGCGCAGCACGTCCTTGAGGAGGTCGTGAAGCTTTCGTGTCAGCTCCAGGTGGCACAGTGCCAGCTTGTCCGAGGACACACGGAAGACCTCCCAGAGCGGGGCAAAGGTCCTGGGGACAGGCAGAGCCCAGTGCATCGGACACCGCTGGAGCCCCTCACATAGCACAGCTGTCCTTGCTCATATGGAACTTGGCAGAAGTGTCCACCAGGTCCCGGGTGCCCGAGGTCACTAGGGTCCCCCATCCAACTGCACTCACCCCATGGGAGTCCCATTGCTGGCCATCTTGGACAGCTTGGCCATGGCCTTGGAGTATGTCTCTTCGATGCTGGCCCTGGATCAGAGAAGGGGCAAAGACAGGCAGACCAGGTACACTGAAACAGGCCTTTCTCTGCCTCAGTTTCCCCATCTCTACACCTTGCTCTGAAAACAGCTTGAAAATGAATTGGATACTTTTATTTTCCCTTTTAATTTTTTCTTTTGGTTTTTTTTTTTCGAGACAGCATTTCTCTGTATTGTTTTGGAGGCTGTCCTGGAACTCCCTCTGTAGACCAGGCTGACCTCGAATTCACAGAGATCTGCCTGTCTCTGCCTCCCGAGTGCTGGGATTAAAGATGTGTGCCACCAACGCCTGGCTCCCTTTTAATCTTTTTAATTTTAGACATTTTTGAAAAATGGTCTAGATATGTGGCCTAGGCGGGCCTCAAACTCGTGGTAATTCTTCTGCCTCAGCTTTCGCCAGTGCTGGGATCAGGAGTGTACACCATCAAGCTGTGTCCACTTCTGATGCTAGCCCTCAGGGTTTAACTCCTTCCTGTGAGTACATGATCTCATTTTCAGTAAGGAGGCATCAGTTCCCTGGGATACGGTTTGAAGGTTGCATGCAAGCCAGTGAGATGACTCAGTGGGTAAGGCGCTGGCATCCGAGCCCGATGACCTGAGTTCAATCTCCAAAGCCCACATGGTGGGAGAAGAGAACCAACTCAACTAAGGTGTCCTCGGCCCTACACATGGACGTCATGGCATGAGCACCGCCCCCCACACAGATAAGATCAAAATAGAAAGTAAGGTAAAAATAAACAAAGGGTGTTTTGAGGCAGAAATGGACCCATGGGGTTGGAGAACTTGGGGTGCTTAGGTCATTTGTTCCCGGATTCCAGGAGATCTGCACTTTTGATCCTTCCTTAAATCTCAGGGTGGATGTGACAAGCCGAAGCCTGGGTAGGCGTGTCCCGTGAGCTGTCCCTGATAGGCGTGTCCAAAGGGTGGGCGTGTCCAAAGGGTGGGCGTGCCCCGCACCTCACCTTTCCCTAATGAAGTCAGCCAGCTCCTTGGTGGCCACAGGACCCTGCTTCACACAATGGTAGAGCACCTCAAAGCCATGGTTTTTGTCACCCTGTAAGGGATGAGTGAGGAGATGTAGGAGCAAAGGACTGCGTCAGGCTGCCTATCAACAGAGACCGCCCTGGAGCCCAAGGAGCCAGAGGCCGGGTGAGACGGCCTGGATCGCAGGCCGCGCTCTCCCGTTAGCCAGAGGGAAGCCTGGGACTTCCACTACGCTTCTAAGGCTACACGGTCTCCTGCTGCCTCAGCCTCAGGTTATGGACGTGTCCTGCCACACGAGCTGTTTACACAGCCGCTGCAGCCCGTCCTGACGCCTGCAATGCAAGCGCTTTTCCAACCAAAGCCAAGAGTGGGGACAGACCCAGGTCAGCGTCACGTCTGAACGTTCCGCCACAGTAACCATCCCCCATCCTAGACCCATTGTTATCAACAGCTCCCTGCTGTCATCAGCAGGCAGCGCCCCAAACGTCCTCCTGGCCCCTCCAGCCCCACACGGACCAGTCCATGACTCTTCTTGGAGCCCTCGCTTCCTCAAGGGTCACGGTCATGCCCTCTGCCCCACCGGGAGTACGTATTGTCTCTTCCAACTGAGGTGCACCGGGCTATTTGGGGGTAGTGGCTGCACCCCCAAGCCCTAGTTCTCTCATGAAAAACGGTAGCGATGGTAGCAACTGCCACACAGTATCTTCAGGGGTGAGAAGTGTGTGGTTCTCTCAAGACACAAAGGCCTTCTGGGTGATAATGAGGGCTCCACACGCAGCCCCCACTGAGCCCACCTGCCACTGCTGGGGATCCTTGGGTGAGGCTGCACCAGGCACAGCCGCCCGGGCCATTATCTGGGGCTAACACAGAGCCAACCGCTGGCCCAGTTCCCGGCCTGGCAGGCCCTCCGCACTGTCTGCCTTCTGGAAGTGGGCAGACAGCCGAGGGTCTGAGGAGAGATGTCCAGGGCCCGTGTCCCTGATCAGAACCTCTGGGTAACGGCCAAAGGACACTTTTAACACCGTTTGATACCCTCTAGTGCTCACACATCTGCATGGCTCCCCAGTGCTCTCTAGGCTTCTGACCCAGACTTGCCTCAAAGGAACTGGGGTACCCCTAAAACCAAGTTTGGGGTGTGGCTCAGGGGTACAGCCCCTGCTAGGATCCCCATGAGGGGCTGGGGGTGTGACTCAGGGGTGCAGCCCTGTCTAGGATCCCCATGAGGGGCTGGGGGTGTGACTCAGGGGTGCAGCCCTGTCTAGGATCCCCATGAGGGGCTGGGGGTGTAACTCGGGGGTGCAGCCCCTGCTAGGATCCCCATGAGGGGCTGGGGGCGGGACTCAGAGGTTCTGCCTATCACATTTGAGGCCCTGGGCTCCATCCTCAGCAGGGAATTAACAGAAAATGAGCCCTGATATCTCGGTCACAGATCCATGTCCCAGAAGAGAGAACTCTCATCCATTTCCTGTACCTCCTGGAGAAACTGAGGCTGGCTAGCCAGTCCCTCCCAGGGAGACCCTGACTTGAAGGTGTGAGCCCTTGCAGCTGCACTATCTTGGGGTGTGCGTGGGAGGGAAGTTGGGGTGGCTTCTATTCTCTCCGTACTCATTGACTTCTCCCCCGGTTTCACACCTCTTGGAATATAAAACACTGACAATCCACGTAGGAGCCACTGTCACCGCTCCCAAATGTGGGTGTCTCCTGGGCTGCCACTCCAGGGCAGGGCTTCTGATGACAGCCCACAGAACAAGACCTCCCAGGGGTCACACAGCCATCCAAAGGCCATGGGAGAATCTGAGCCCCGCAGGCGGTGAGGGACAATGGGGACCCTTTAAGACAGCAGAAGCAAGAGACGCCCCAGCTGGGGAGGGAGTAGGGGAGGGAGTGGGGCTTGTTGCTAGGGGCAACCAGTTGCTTAGTAACCAGGCACCACTTTGCAAGCTGTGGGCCTACTGGGGAGGAAGGGGCCTTTCAGTCTGATGCCCCCAGACTCCAGGCTCCCACCCCGGGGCTGCTCCTGCATCCTCAGTGGCTCCCCAGTTTCCTGGCCCAACCAACCGGGAGGAGACCCCGGTCCTTGAGGTGGACTCGGGGTGTTTCCTGTGGTTGTGATAGCTTTTGCACATCGTGGAGACCCAGCCTTCAGAGCTCCAGCAAACTGGGCCGTGGGGGCCCTGAGCCACGCTGAGCCACAGGGTCTGGCTGGCTCTGTGTCCCCAAGAGTCGCAGCTCCCTCCCTCAGATGTGAGAGCCTCTCTTCCCCAGACCCGGTGTGCAGCTGGCCTAGATGGCCAAGAAGGACAAGAGGTGGGGGGGGCAATCTCCCCCAACAAACACATTTCCCAAAATGAAAACGAATGGAATTTCCCTGCTTGGCTTGCCCAGATGAGTGGAGTTCAGGTGCAAGGCCGTGCTACTCTAACATGTCATCCGTGGAAACGTTCCTGTAGAGCCCAGGCTGGCTAGGGACTGCCACTCTCCTGCCTCAGCCTCCCCAGGTCCGGAATCCCAGGTTGTACACATGCACCCAGCTTGGTGCTCTCCTGCCGAGCAATTCTCAGACCACACATGCTACTCTGGACCTGATTGTTCGTGCCTGATTGCCCTGAGTCAAGGCAACCACGTCTCCATGTTTTAAATTCTACTTTCTATCTGCCCAGTTCCCCCTTGACCATAAAAGTCTCTACAACCCGTTGTGAGTCCCCACCAAAATAAGAACAGAGAAGAATAAAAAGAAACAGAAGAAACAGCATCTTACCCAAAAATGTTCCCCAAAATATGACATCCTGGTGGCCTCTGAGGAGACCCCTGCTGGCCTCTGTCCAGGATCTGTCTGAAAAGAGAGGTTGACCTTGGACAGGGAAGCTCCACCCCCCTCCTCCTGTGGAGGACTAAGGAAGTGAAGCCAAGGCCAGGAGCCAGGCCTGAGAGATGCCGTAGCCTTGGCCCTGGGGCCCTAGGTAATGGGCACATACGCCTCAGTCTCATGGGGCTAAGCATGGCCTGGAGGACGGAAGCTAGGGTGGAGGGGGCCATGGTGCAAGGGGTTTTTAAGCATGGATAGGAGTTTATGGGCTAAGTCCACAGTAGTATTGGATGAACTGAATTCTAGACAGAATGGCTCTAGGCCATTTTAGATGTAGAGAAACTGAGTCACTTCCCAAGAGGGGAAGCAACTTGCCAAGGTCAAATGGCAGGAAGGGACAGTGGATTTTGTGTCTGTGGTTTCTGTGGCAGAAGTCTGGGCATGATGTACAGGGTCCCTTGAAGTGTCACGGACAGTCCCTCCCTCTGTCAGGGGCTCCATGGGTCCCAACCACCCTTGGAAGCCACTGTTCACCTGGCTCTGAGTCACTTGGCCCTGTCCCTCAGTTTCTCCATCTGTAGAGACAGAAAACCCAGGTCACTTTGCATAGGGTGGGGCCATGTGGTGCGGAGGGGTGTGCAGAATCCTCAGCATACCAAGGCTCGGCCGACATCGGAGCTGGTGTCCTCATCCATAGTTCATGAGCTATCGGGCTGCCGGCGACAGCTGGAGCCCAGGAGGCCCCGTGACAGACTGGATGAGCACGGCTGACCACAGGCCCAGACTATCCTGGCCCCACTGGGAGGACCTACTTAGCTCTGAGCCTCAGTTTACCTAGCACGGAAAGTTGGCCTGGAACTCTGGGTCCTCCTGCCTCAGCCTCTAGAATTCGGGACTCAAGCTGCGTGTCTCTGCACCTGCAGGTCCCCTTGGCCTGAGAGGCTGTGTGTCCCAGATATAAAGAGGAAGCCAGGACCAAGGGGAGGGCATGGCCGCTGAGGCCCGGGAGCAGGCACAGGAGTTCACCGGGGAATAATGATTTCATTTTCAAATGTCTGCCCTCCCACCCTTGGGTTAGGCAATGATTCTAGAAGCTTCTCTGTGGTGACACACTGGCACTCCAGGAGGAAATCCCCAAATATCCACAATGTGGCTTTTCTTTGTTTCATTTGATTTTTGAAGCAAGGTCTCACTCTGCATCCCAGGCTGACCTCTAACTCATGTCCATCCTCCTGCCTCAGCTCCCAAGTACTGTGGTGACAGGCTGGAGCTACCATACCACCTTCCTGCTGTATCCTGGTGCCTGGCTGGGACGCAGCTGGCCTATCTGAATCCCTTAGAATGTGCTGAGGGACAGGGGACTCAACCCCCCTGCACCAGCGTGGCAACTTCATCTTTTTTTTTTTTTTTTTTTTTTGGTTTTTCGAGGCAGGGTTTCTCTGTGGCTTTGGAGACTGTCCTGGAACTTGCTTGGTAGTCCAGGTTGGTCTCGAACTCACAGAGATCCACCTGCCTCTCCCTCCCGAGTGCTGGGATTAAAGGCGTGCGCCACCCATGCCCGGCTGGCAACTTCATCTTATGTAAAGTAAAATCCATCCCCCTGTGGCCAGGCTCTCACATGCTCAACCCTGGGAGCCACTCTGGGGAAGTGGCAGCCGTCTGCAACAGGAAAGATAAGCTTCTGCCAGGTTGAAGAGGCTCTTGGGGAATGGGTGCTGTTCCGGAAGTCATTCAGTGTCACGAGAGTCCCCCATCCCTCTTCCACCGCATACAAAGCCACTGTCCCCAACCCCACACATCCAGCCACCCCACCAGCCACCCACCCGTGTTAAATGCTGTCTCACGGCCGAGAATGCCCATCTGGCTGCCCAGAACCCCACCCAGTGGCCCTAGATGGTCCACAACCTGCACTCTGGTCGGGACTGACCGGGGCAGCGGGAGATGGTGCCGAGAATGGGCCCTGATGCTGCCACCTGGCCCAGGAAGTGACAGCCATCGCTGGCCCCAGACCTGAGCCCACAGCTGTGGGACTCCTTTCAGTTCTGAGGTGACAAAGATGTATGCTGGGGTCAGACTCACCGGTGGGCACCGAGCAGGGCTGAGAGCCCCTAGGGGGCCGGGGTAAACACTGGGAGGCCATGGGCCCCTGACACTTCCGCCAGCTCTGAGTGGAGGCCCATGCCTGGAGGAGGACAGGAAGCCTGGCCCGCCCTGCTTGCCACCCAACCGTCACCTCCCCGCCCAGCACCCCTGGGACCTCCCCACAGCCACAGGGCCGCACGCAGGGCGGGGGCTGAGGGAGCAGGTGGGAACAACGTGACCATTACAGACTCACGCTGACTAGAATAAAAAGACCACCCGGAGCCTCTACTTTGGCCCACACTGGGCCAAAACAGCCAAGAGGGAAACAGACTTGAAGATGTGTGAAGCCTCCCCTCAGAGAGGGAAACCTAAACATTCTTCAGGGCCAACAGATTAAAGCTTGTTTTAGACAAGGTCTCACGTAGCCCAGGCCAGCCTTAATTAGATGTAACAGATGATGACCTCAAAGTCCTGACCCTCCCACCCCCACTTCCGGGTGCTGGGGTGACAGGGTGTACCACCAAGTCTGACTTTGAAATGTCGATATTGAATACGACAGTGTCCCTCATCCCCATGTTCTTGGGGGGGTTTGTTTTGTTTTTACTAATATGATTTGAAAAGAAGTTAAAACACCATGGAGACCCCTAAAAATACTGTGGACCTAAGACAGTTTTCCTAATGTAACCAGGGCTTCCTGGACACTGTAACACCATGAGGCCCAGAGACCGACAGACACTTGCTCAACATCACACAGCATTCCACTCCCCCACCGCACACCCCACACACCAACTCCCCAACACCTGGGACCTGGGTGTGGGAACAGCAGCTTGGGCACCGAGGACAAACACATCTAGGTGGTGGGATTTTGGATGTCAGGTGTGGGCTGGCTGCACCCACAGCCCTTGACCCCATGCTGTGCGACCTTCACGATGCCTTCTCTGAACCTTGTGACCCCATCAAACAGAAACTTGCTCTGTAGCCCAGGCTGGCCTCAAACTCACAGAGATCCACCGGCCTCTGCCTCCAAGTGCTGGGATTAAAGGCGTGTGCCACCAGCGCCTGGCCCTCAAACAGAAGCTCATGCTGCCCCCAGACTTCAGCCCGTGCTCCATGCGAGGAAACTGAGGCCCCTGTGACAGCCATCGCTGTGTCACTTCATTAGAAGCACATGCATTGAGCACCACTGTGTACCCCAGTCCATGAGTGCTGGTGACTCTGGTCACACCCTTCCAAGACATCCCATTTTCTCGTTGGCCGTGACTCCTTTTAATGAGCGCAATATCATAATTAATATCATGAGGAGCAGGTGTTTACAGTACGCCTCCCTCCTACTGTCACCTCTGATCTTCCCACGGGTTTCGGCCCATTTCACAGAAGGCTCAGCCAGTCTGAGCATAGCTGCCTAGGAGTCACCCACCGTCCCGAAAGCGGGAGGGGCCAAGCGCCTGATCTCCCACCTGGGACTCCGCCCAGGAACCGGCTGGGCCCTGGCATAGGAGATGGTATGTGGGTCAGGGTGTGACCCGGGCAGCCACACCGGTGGGACGGGGTGACACAGGCCAGGTCTCCATAGCAGGCGGATCCCGCCTAATGGGCACGTGGGAACTGTCCTCTCCTGGTCCTAGGTTCCTCCGGGAAGGCCAGACTGTATCCATCAATCAATGTCACGGTTTGGTTTTGTTCATGCTTTCTTATGAGGCAGAGTCTGGCTATGTAGCCCAGGCTGGCCACAAGGTGCACACCTTCCTGCAGGCTCAGCCTCCCACGGACAGGAATAACCCTGCCAGGCTCAACCCATTTTAAAGGGCCGAAAACTGAGTCTCCCCTAACCTTTGGCCAAAGACTGGTTCCCCATCTGTCGAAAATGGGGCGTGCATGTTGGGATTCTGAGACAGACAGTCTGACCTCTGCAACCTCAACATTCCAAAGAGGAGACGGGGGTCAGGGAGGTACTGTCACCTGCCCAAGGTCACCATGAAGCAGGATCCGCGAAGCTGCGGTCCAGTGGAGGGGCTGCCACCCCTGACCTCTTCCGCATCCCATCCTTGGTGACCCGCGACTAACTCTGTCCCTGGGAGCAGATGCAGGCCGCCCCCCTCACAGAGCGCGGGAGTCCCCGGTGCGGGCTGCAGGCCTCTCCAGGCCGCGCTCGCTAGGGAGGGGACCCCAGTTGCCCCGCGGCTCCACTGCACTCGCCCTGTAGAACCCCCACTTGCCTGCCAAGCCCTGGGCCGGTGAAATGGGAGGGAGGTGACCCGGGCTGTCAGGCGAGGACAGGGACCACACGGGCAGCGACGGAGGCGGCCTCCACCCTAGGTCCTGGGGGCTGAAGATCTGGGGAGGAATTTGGGGGTCCTCGTGGTCCCCGCTTCCCAGACCCGGATTGAGGGGAGCGGCACCCCGCCTTTTGCAGGCAGCACCTGCGCTCTGGCCGGCTCAGGATGAAGGCTGCGCCCGCCCGCCCGCGCCCCGCTCTCGGGGACACTCACCCCGTACTCCTCGCCCCACGCCCGGGAACACTCGCCCCACGCCCGGGAACACTCGCCCCGCGTCCCGCGCCCCGCGACGGGGACACTCGCCCCGCGTCCCGCGCCCCGCGCCCGGGGACACTCACCCCGCGCTGCCGCCACCTGCGCGCTCTGGACCCGCGCCCCGCCCTCACCGCGCGCTGCAGAGCGCGCCGCTGGCCCCGCCCACGGGGTGTGGTCTCGAGGAGCTCCGCCTCACGGAGCTTCCCAAGTCTTGCACTGGTTGGCTGAGCCGCGCCACTCACCCGCAGACTATTTGCATAGTTTAAAGTGACAGGAGAAGCTCCTTGCTCCCTGCACCTGCGCGTCCCGCGGGAGGGAGGGAGGGAAGGAAGGAGTAGCATTTATTGAGTACCTACAGTGTGCATGGCTCATTGGAGAACCTCTCCAAGGCTGTGAGTGAGGTGATATTTAATATTGAGCCTCATTTTACAAAGACACTGGAGAGGGCTTGGAATTGCTTTGGAGGTCACACAGCAACTCTAGCCCATCCATTCATACTACGCATCATTCCTTATTATTCAGGCTGTTCTGGTGACAGAATCCAGAATTGCACAAGAGCTACATATTCCAAGTGTCCTTTTTCTGCCCAGGAGCCTGTGTGATATTCAGTCCTCGAATCACCTTCAGGTTCTGGGGGTTGAGAATGGTAACACAGGCTTTAGATATTTTAAATGCGGGCGCGCGTGTGCATGTGAGTGTGTGCGCGTGCATGTGTGTGCGCGAGCGTGTGCGTGCGTGTACGTGCGTGTGTGTGCGCGTGCGTGTGCGCGTGCGTGTGTGCGTGTGCTTGTGCACATCAGAGTCAGGTGGACAGAGTTTAACGATCTGATCCATTTCACCTGCCATTGACTGGTTGTTGTTGCTAGTTCTGGCCTGGACTCAAGGTTTGGCATTTCAGGCTCCCAGTGTTTCCATCAAGGGTGTGTGTCCCCATGGCCACCTGAATTCTCTATATGACTCAGTTGTATTCCCGTCTACGAAGTCATGGAAGATGAGTCTCCACTAGTCTGGACTATCAGGAGGAAAATTGTGCATGCATGTAGGTGCATGCGCGAGCGCATGCGCGCGCGCCAGCCATTCATACACACCTCTCAGTGGGTGGCCACGCTGGTTAGCTTTTTATCAAACCTGGGAAATAACCTCAGTGACCTCAAAGAAAACGCCCCCACCAGGCTGTGGACCTGTCTGTGGGCATTTTCTTGATTGAGGACCGGTGTGGGGCAACCCAACTCACTGTGGGCAATTCCACCCCTGGGCACGTGGTCCTGGGCTGTAGAAAGAGCAAGCCGAGAAGCCGGAAGAGCAGAGCAGCAGGCAGCGCTCCCCATGGCCCCCCTTCAGTTACTGCCTCCGGCCAGGTTCCTGCTTCGTCTCCTGCCCTGCCACGGCCTCCCTTCGTGATGAACCTGATCGCCTTACATCAGGGTGATCAGCACAACAAAACAGTTAGCAATAGACTCTAAGCCTGAATCAGACTGCACGGGAATGGGCTGAGATCCAGAGTGTTCTTTCAAAGGGTGTAGTATGCAGCAGTGAAAAGAGTGAACCGAACACTGTAGTACTTCCCGCCTGGATCTCAGCGCTTCAGAGCTAGCCTGGTCTCCCATGTTGAAAACTGAGCGTTCAGAGGATTTGGCCATCACCAGTGGGTGAATCCACCAATAACTCCCAGTTTAAGGGGCTGGGAGATGATAGACACATTAGGGGGTGGGGCTTTAGTTGGGGGGAGGGGTCACCCCAGCTCCCCTTCCTGGCGTCTGCGGAAGTCAGCAGCTTTGCTCTGCATAACAAGGTCTGGCACACTATGACCTGGGTGACCCTGATCTGAGCCCAAGACGCCAGCGTGGTTGCTCTTGCAGGACCTCCTTTCCCTTCCCTTCCCTTCCCTTCCCTTCCCTTCCCTTCCCTTCCCTTCCCTTCCCTTCTTTCTTTTTACGGTTTTTCTTTCGTTCTGATTTGGGGATAAGATAGGATTAGGGGTGTCTGCGCGCACTCAGCTGTTGTTCTTCACAGAGCCACGCCCCACCCGCCGTCTCCCCTCTGATTGGTCATTTTCTTGCCGTTAGCTCTTCCCGCTCCAAAGCAGCCTGAGGAGGCTTTTCTCCCGCCCAGCGCTGGACCCCAGGGAAGGTACCCGGTGTGGGCTCCGCCCTTGGCTCCCGGCCGGGTGTGACCGCATTCACACACCCGACCCTCCTTGCAAACCTGGACCAGCGGCGAGCGAGGGGCGGGGAAGGGAGGCTGGGACCTGCGGCTTAGACCTAGGGAGGAGACGCTGCAGCCTCGGGAACGCGCAAGGCGGGAAGGCACAGCTCGAAACAACGGCGCGACTCCCTGGAAGCCCCGCCTCCGCGCGCGTGCACACACGCAGGATTGCTTGCTTAACCTGGGAACCAGCAAGTCCGGGCATCCTCCTGCCTCCATACCACGTATTGAGATTACAGAGATATGCCTTCAAGAGCATCTTTTTATCAGGGTTCTGGGATTCGAACTCAGGTCCTTTTGCTTTCTCCCCCCCCCCATTTCAAACAATCTCATCAGGTAGCCCAGGCTGGCCTTAATGTAAACACCCTGGACAATGAAAGCGCTTGGCCGCGACCCTGGCTGCGACTCTAGTGTCTCCTTCCTTTCGTGCTCCCGCCCGACCCTCCCCTCCACAGCATCCCTCCCGCCCTAGCCCAATTCCCTGGCGTCCTGAGCTGTCAGCCTGGCCTCGCACTCCCTGGTGTCCACTCCGGCAGCCGCAGCGCGTGGTGGTTTTTAGTGTGCGATCAGCCATAATGGGAAGGATCGCAGGCAGCTAGGGAGGGACGGGAGAGAAAGGAGAGCAGAAGGGGGAGGGTAACGCAGAGTGTGGTGTGAGGAGGGTGGCCCCTGGAGACGGCCACCCACCCCACCAGCTTTAGAAAGCTGGGCCTTGGCCTGCTTTAACAAAATACTCTGCCTATGTTAACCTTAGTAAGCATTCCTCACTGGACTAGGGGCAGAAGTCAGCCGGCAGTGCCTGTTGTTCGGTTGGAAGACTGGCCTGCATGCACACACAGGACGCGTGCAGGTCGGGCACCGTGTGTGTGTGTGTGTGTGTGTGTGTGTGTGTGTGTGTGTGTGTGTGTGACACAAGCCTGTCACCCCAGCAGCTGGGAGGTAGAGGCCGAAGGATCAGGAGTTTAAGGTTTATGTAGTGAGTTTGCCAGCTGACCTGGCCAAGCGCTAAGCTTAGTGGTGGGAGGGTGAGGTGTTAAGTTCCGGGTGTTGGACACTGGGGCTGTACTGCTGGCTCTTGCGGTTCAGGACTCCCGCCTGTGGCCTCTGCTGGCAAGGTGTAGGTGAGCTGAACTCAAGGCCCCAGTGCTCCACACCTGCAGCCCTCCTGAGCACTGCTGTGGTGGACCAGGAGGGGCTTGGACTCCCTCAAGACCGCCAGCACCCTCTTCATCACACGGGGCTGAAAAGACCTTGCATCCCTGAAGGCCCATCCCTGCTGCTGACACCCAGGCCTCTGTAGCTCAGTCCACAGCAGCTGTCTCTGCTCTACCACAGACCTCAGGCTGACGGAAGTACCTGTGAGCATGCACGGGAATGAAGGAGGCCCAGAGCAGAAGCCACAGCAGGAAAACAAACAAACAAACAAACAAACAAAATCGAGACTGAAGAGAGCGCCGAGGCCAAGGCTGCTCTAGGACAGGGCTGAGTCAATTCACCACTGCCTCCAGTTCCAGAGGGCCTGATGCCCCGTTCTGACCACTGCGGGCCCTTCCGAGTATGCGGTGCCCAGACAGACATGCAGGCCAACGCTAATACACATAACATAATAAAATCTAAAAGAATAAATTCTAAGACCTGAGACTACAAGGGAGTAGTGGCATATGCCTGCCACACCTGCTAAAAGAATATCTAAGGGTGCTAAAAGCAGTCCTGCTGTTAAGTTCACGGCCGCGGGGGGGAGTGTTGGCAGCACCCACATGGTCGAGGGAGGAAAGTCATGCACACTGATCCAAAGTGATGCAGACCAGACTGCCATCCCGTGGGCCGAGACGGTGGCCCTGTCATCAGTGAAGGCTGTGGAAGGCAGGCGGGTTGTATCTGCCTTGGAAGGACTTGGGCTGCAGGGAAGAAGGTATCAGGAGCAGTAGGTCGCCATGGGGCTGAGGCTCTGGGCTCCTTTCCGCAGCGGTCTTACTAGAAACCTACCATATTGTGCACCTGTGGTGGCCTTGCGGCAGCAGACACACAAACTCACTTTTGGATTCCAAATGGCCTATGCCACCAGCTCTAGCCCCTACCTAGCCCCCTTCCCAGAGCCTTCATTCCAAGCTGCCTGGCTGGAAACAGCCTTGCCCACGGCTGCTTCAAACAGGTCTGGTCTAGAGATGGGAGGACAGAACCAAGGCTCTGCGGAGTGGGTGCCTGTCTCACTGGGCAGCGTTGAGTGCCAACCATGGCATCCGGTGTCTCGCCCTGACTTGGTCAGGGTTTCTATTGCTACAATGAAACTCTGTGACCATAAGCAACTCCGGGAGGAAAGTTTATCTGGCTTAGGCTTCCATATCACAGTTCACCACTGAAGGCAGTCAGCACAGGGCAGGAACTGGAGGCAGGAGCTGATGCAGACGCCATGGAGGGTGCAGCTTACTGGCTTGCTCAACCTTTCTTGTGAAACCTAGGACCACCAGCCAGGGGATGGCACCACACACCACAGGCTGGGCCCTCCCCCATCAGTCACTAGATAAGAAAATGTACCTCGCACACCTCTCAGCCTTTCCTCTGTTAAACTATCTAAGTGCGGTGTCTAGAGCCATTAAGGAGAGGGAAATGAGTTAAGAAGTTGCCCCCACCAGACTTGCGCTGGGTGTGTAAGAGAGCATCGAGCGAGCCATGGGGAGCGAGCGAGCCCGAGTAAACAGCCCCCTCCAGGCCTCCAGGCTTGCCCCTGCCTTGAGCAAACCCCTTCTCAGCTGCCTATGGCCAAGGTGTTCACACAGCACTAAAAACCACCTAAGACATCAAGACCAAAATCTGACCCAGCTGCTTTATTTGCTGTGGGATTTGAAACAAGGATCACTGCTCAGCCCTGGCTGGCCTGGCGCCCACACTGATCCTCCCGCCTCTGCGGCCTGAGTGCGAGCACGGACGATGGCGGTGAGCCTGCCTTGTGACCGGCACAGACAAGTGATGGCGGCAGCACTGCTCCGTCTGTGGCGCTGGGGATGGAAGCCGTGGCGACGCCCGCGGTGACTAGAACTCCACTTTGCAGGCAGGGAAGGCCTCGTCCTGCATGGACACCATGCTGCCGCTGCCCAGCACCCTGATGCCCAGCGCCTCGCGCTGCTCCTGCGTCTCCTCGTACCACCTGTGCATCACCGCCGAGTCGAAGGTGGGGATCAGTGTGACCTGGGGAGGGAACGTGCGGATGGTGACACTCCCAGCAGGCGCCCCACCCCACCCCGCCCCACCCCGCCCCACCCCACCTGCAGCGTGCACGAGGGCCTTCTCTGCCCCCGGGCACTGTCACACAGCCCAGGCGGGCCGGCCACTTCCCAGCCACCTCCCAGAGTCTCCCACGCCACACCACGCCACTGTGAGGGGCAGCGCTGTTGCCAGGGTAACCACCCCGCACACCCCTTGAGATGTAGCCTCCTCTGCGCTGGTGCAGCTGCCCCGGGGCCTTCGTCCCCACTGCCCTCAAACCTGGCCCTGCACACAGGGCTGCCTGGCTCACAGGGCTGCTCAGCGTGGGACAGCCTCCCAACCAGAGCCCCTCAGCTCCACTCTGGTGACACGTCTCAGCTGCAGGGACACAACATCTCAGACCCACGGGCAGGACCTCAGAGTCCTGGGTCCCTGAAGGGGTCCACCCACCTGCAGGTCAAGGTCCCACTGCTGCTTGCCGGCCAGCAGCGCGTCCAACACGGCCCGCAGGCCCTCTTCCTGGCGCTGGCCCTGCCCACTGATGACATAGCAGAGCGCTCGGACTCGAAGGAAGAAGTCCTGGTCCAGGTGGCCTGTGCCACCCCCAGGCAGGTAGGCCAGGTCCAGGTAGACGGGGGAGCCAGCAGCAGGTGCCACAGAGCGGCTACTGAGCCCTGCGGGTAACACACAGGTTGGTGGCGGCATCAGGGCATCTATGTGACAGAGGGACAGACACCCGAGATTCCTGTATTCACAGGGGCCAGTGTCAGGCACACTTGCTGGGCCACAGAGATGGGGGCTCAGGGAGCAAGCTCAGCCCACAGACTGTGAGGCCCTGGGTGTGGGAATAAGAGGGCTCCCAAAACTGGTCATGTGGCAAATGCTTCAGACTCAAACTCTGTCCCCACTCCCAGGTGAGGTGACAGGGAGCGAGGGTAGCAGGGGAAGCGGCCTGAGGCCCAGGACCACAAGCACGCGCACTGGCATAAGGCGATGGGAAGTGGAGCCCCCAGTCCTGCCTGGCATTGGCACAGCCAGCGAAAGCTGTGACTCAGGGCAGACTGACGTGCTGGGGACACCAGGGACAGCATGGAACTGAGGTCTGCAGAGGGACTGCAGGGCCCGTCTGAGCCCGGGCCTCACGGGTAGTCCTGAGAACCTATAAATGCCGTCCCTCACAAGCGTGGGCTTGATGGGAAGGGTGTCACTAGGTGCCAACCTGGGTAGACAGAGTTATCAAGTCTCCCTGGCCACTTAATCTCTTCTGCAATGAAGTCCCAGGACCAATCTGTAAATGTGCCAAACCTAGAGCCTGGGCCAAAGCAGCCGTCAGCTGCAGCAATGCCTAAGGCCTGAGCCCTGCAGGGACAGGCCCAGAGAGTGGTCTCAGTGCCACCTGGCCCGGAGGTGGGCAGAGAGCCACTTCCGACTTCCAAGGCAGGCCTGGTGGCTCTGAAGGTGTTGCCCTTGGAACCCAGGTGCAAAGCCAAGCCCAGGAGCTTACCTATCAAATCAGCTATCACGAGACTGAGGCAGGGGTTATCACTTCAGGGCCAGCTTGGGCTACAGTCCAAAACCCTCTCTGTCTCTGAGATAGGGTCTTTCTTGACACGTAGTCCAGGCTGGCCTCAAAGTCACAGAGATCTGCCCATCTCTGCCTCCCAAGTACTGGGATTAAAGGCTGAGCTACCACGCCTGACAAAACCCTCTCAGAAAACTGAAAAAGCTAAATGTGACAGACACCATGGCCTCTCTGCCTCTGTAGGCACAGGGTCCCAAAGTAAGGCCATCCCAAAACGGGAACAAGACTACAAACAGGAAAGCCCGTGCTAGCCCAGGACCTGGCTGAATTTCCTAGACAGCAAAACACGAGACCCAGCCCAGGAGTCCTCTCTGGGGATCTAAAGGGCGGGAGCAGGTAGGCGCGGCTGGCACGGGGGGGGGGGGGGGGTTGGGGGGGATGGGGGGCCGCGGGCCAGCCCCTGAACTGGAGTGAGGCCAGAGAGCAGAGTGGCTGGAGTGCCAGGGGGAAGGTGGGATGGGACTCACCAGAGGAGGTCCTCGTGGCAGGTGCCACTTTGGGGACAGTCTTGGGGACTGAGGGCTTCCTGGTGAGCGGCACACGGCCTGGCTTGTCTGCAGGCTCACTGCGGGCACTTAGTGGCCGTGCCCTGTCCCCGGCAGGGCCCTTGGTCTTGGCAGCCACAGATGCAGCTCTGGGGGCAGCGGAGGAGGAGGAGCTCGGCCTTGGGGGGGCCTTGCGGCTGCGACCGGGATTGGCGAGGTTGGGCGGCTGCCTGGTACGGGGCGGCAGGGCCTCGGGGTCCACCATGCAGATGCCGGGGACGTCGGGAAGGGGTGGTGGCACACGGGGTGTGGGCAGCGGGTCCCTGGCCGCGCCCTCACTACCCGCGTCGTCGTCGGAGTCTGCGGCCGGCACAGGGTCAGAGTCAGACAGCGTGGGCAGCGACTCACTCACTGACGTGGGCGGCGTCTCGGGTGGCCGCTCCTGCGAACGGGCGCTGCTGTCCGAGCTGCCCGGAGATGCGGGAAGGGGCGGCTTGCGGTGCGCAAACTCACAAGGTGACACGAGGCACAGGTCTACATCGTGTGGGGATGTGGAGCGGCGGGCAAGGCGCAGGGGCAGGCTCAGCCCCGGGTCACCCGCTGGCAGAACCTGCTCGAAGGACACGGACAGAGACTCATCTACCTCAGTAGAGTGCGGTGAGCCCAGCTCCGCAGGCAGCGAGGGCGTGGTCAGAGTGGGTGTCGTGGCTGTGGGTGTCGTGGCTGAGGGTGATGCGTCCAGCGCAGGTTCTGGGCGAAGCGGGCTGAGAGACAGGCGCTCAGGGCTGTTGCCAGGGACACTAGGTGGTGGGGACCGAGCTGGAGACAGGGTTGGGGACGGGGCAGGTGGCCGCTCGGGCTCCAGGCTGCTCCCTGCCTCTCCCGGGCTCTCAGGCAAACGAGCCATAGGCGGCCCTGAGGGAACCAGGGCTCGAGGACCGTTCTGTGCCGTGCGAGGCTTCGTGTTGGCGACACCTGGCCCGGATCGGCGCACGTCGCGGACTGCAGGCCGTGTGGGCCCAGGTTTTGCATCCTTCTTGAGGTCGCGCGAGGGCGGAGCCGGCTGTCTTCGCACTGTGCTCCTGCTGGAGCTGCCAATGGCGCTCCGGACAGGCTCTTTGCGCGAGCTGTCCCGCGAGGCCAAGCTGTCCTGGCTGTCAGCCCTCGCGGGAGCATCCAAATCCCGCGCGGTGACCACCGGGCGGCGCAGACACGGCAGGTGCTGCAGGCGCTGCAGCCCGTCCAGCAGGCGCGTGGGCGGCGTGCGCCCAGGGAACAGCACACGAACCACCTTGTCGCTGGGCACCGCGGGCTGCCACACCAGGAGGGCGCAGGCGGGCGCTGCGGGGTCCCCGGGGGGCGGGTGCAGTACAAAGAGCTCAAGGCGGCCAACACCCAGTTTCTCAAAGAGGACAGTGGGGCGCGCGGGCTGCGGGCCTCGCTGCAGGGGCAGCGGTGCGATGCCCAGGCTCTGCAGCAGGCCCCGCGCGCACACCGCCTCGTCCTCTCCCCCACGCAGCCGAGACGTCGCCTCTCGAGCATTGAGGAATACGACACCCAGGGCGGGAGACAGAAGGCGGCGCAGCATCTCCTCGCGTGGTCCCTGCGGCCCCGCGGCCGCCTCACGTTCTGCCAGCTTGCGACGCAGCAGGCTATTGAGGCCGGGCAGGCTGTCCGCGCCTGCGTGGGTCACCAGCACTGCGTCCACACGGTCCAGGTGGCGCACCAGCTTCCAGAAGCTCGACTTGGGGTTGGAACCGCCATTCACCAGCACAGTGAAGCCGTTGACTGCAAAGAAGGCGGCATCGCCCAGGCCGCCTGGGAACACATAGCAGCAGGGCCGCGCCAGGCGCAGGAAGCCGCCCGCGGCCGGCGGCTCCAGCAGCTCGAAGGGCGACGGCGGCTCCAGCGACTCGGCCACATACTCCAGAAAGGCACGCAGGCCCTCGGAGGCCGGCAGCAGCGCGGGTGGGTTCAGTCGCAGTCGCAGCCCAGGCGTGGGGCCCAGTAGCGTCCAGTCCCCAAAGGTCGGACAGGACAGGGTGAGGGCCGGTGGGGCAGTGGGTGCCGAGGCCAGCGCATCCTGGACCTATAGGACCAGCACAGGGTCGCCTAGACCCAAGGACTTGGGCACCACTCCCCCTAGTCCCCAGCTCTGCATCCCGGGCCTCCTGGCCTCACCTTCCTGGCCCATGGCCCGCTGTCTGCGCCCCCCCTCACTGCACGGTCTGTGAGCAGTTTTGGGGTCCTTTCCCGCCCCAGGGCAGTGCAGGGGGACAGCTCACCTCTTTGTCCCCCAGCACCTGCAGGAAGTGCTGGGCTGAGAACCCCCCGGTCTGCAGCAGCAGCTCCCCGGTCTCCTCCAGGCAGGGTCCTGCCAGCACCAGCAGCTTGTGTGGAGCGGGGTCCATCAGGAGGTTCCGGAGCTGTGGGTGAGTGCTCTCTGAGCAGTGCCCAGGCTGCCCAGCCCTGAACTCAGCCGTGGACACAGCAGTCCCTTCCCCGCAGCCTCTCTCCCGCAGTGGCTGATATCACTAGCAGAGCTCTCGCTAGTCTAGCAGAGACTGCTTCAGGCAGAACCGCCTAGCTTTCTTATGGCAAGGTTCCTCTATGAAAGCACAGGTTAGCCATCACCTCTTCAGCCTGCTTCAGCCTTCCCCCACGGGAAGAGGTCCCTGGCAGCAATCCCAGAAAAAAAGATGCCGAAGGGATCAACTAGCGGCCAGCCGGGCAGCGTCTGACCTCTGCCGGCTGTAACAGGTACGGACTAGCCAAAGCCGAGGCTCCTGGGCACCTGGGACAGCTCCTAGGTCAGTCAGCCTCCAGGAGAACCTTGTGACTCCCAAGGCCTCCAGCTAGACCCAGCACAGCCCCTCCCCTTGCAAGGCTCCAGCCTTCCTGTCCCGCCCTACTAGGGAGAGGAAGCTAAGGCAGGAAGGACCAAGCTCGTGCTCTGGGGCAGGTGTGAGCAGGGGACAGGGCAGACCCCAGGTCACCTGCTCCTACCTCATCACAGAGGGATTTGTCTGAAGGGTTCAACAGGACCAGCGTCTCCAGGGTCTCTCCACGGTGGTGCAGGCTCCGCTGACCTGAGGGATGACTGAGGATCAGCTGGTCTGATGGCAAATCCTGCCACCAGCAAGGGACCCTCAAGTCTGCAAGCCCCAGAACCCACACAAGGGCGCCACACTCTGATGAGGGCAACTGGAAAGCCAAAGACACCCGGGCTCAAGTGGAGACAGCCCAGACACGCAGCCGCGATGGCCGCCATGGCACCTCTCAGCTCAGCAGGAAGGGGGACAAAGCAGCTCCGCCCCACCCCCGCCAGGCTGCTTGTGGAGCCCGGCAGACTCAGCTGCAGCTGGGCCACCGCCCAGAGGGCTTTTCCGAGGGGCTGTGGCCCACGGGTCACACAGCATATGGCATTTCCAGCTCCGTCTCCAGTCCAGCACTGTGACTCAAAGCGACAATCAGACAGACACTTCCTTCCCCTCCAGCAGCTGTAGGTGACTCAGCCACTGGGCAGGAGATAGCTACAAGCAACACCCACAAAGCAGCCAGTGGCCGCTCTGCCATCCTGGGGTCCCCGGGGAGCTTGCCCTGCACCCCATCTCTGCTTCCCATTGACTGAGAGCACCCTGCAGGTTCTCCGCCCCAAAGGTCCCTCCCTAGAGTCGTCGCTGTGCCCTTGTGTGCACAGGCCCTGCTCCTACTGTCCCAAAGCTGAGGCAGCATTCCCATCTTAGGGGTAGCACTGCACAGGCCTCGTGGTGCCCCAAGCCACGCCCACCATGCACTGTCACTCAGCAGCTTGGCATCTAGTGAATGGGCAGAGGAACCCTGGGACAGATCACCTTTCACAATGCTGGAGAAGGTAGCTGAGTGCCGGGACACAAAGACCTTGAGCTGCTCATCCAGGCTGCAGATGCTAGGGTCCACATCCTCCCACGAGCGAACCCCTGCAGGTCACAAGAGACACAGCTCAGCTCCGGCACCCTCCTGCCCACCTGCCCCGGCCCGGGGCAGAGCCGAGAGACTCAGGCAGGCCTCAGCCTTTCACTGACTGGTAGCCTGGCTGGCTGGTCATCTGCCCTAGGTCCCCTGCTTTCCTGCTAGGACCCTGAACTTGAGAGAGAGAGAGAGAGAGAGAGAGAGAGAGAGAGAGAGAGAGAGAGAGAGAGAGAGCGCATGTGTGTGAGTGTGACCGTGTGTGAGTGTGACTCTGTGTGTGTGTGTGTGTGTGTGTGTGTGTGTGTGTGTGTGTGTGTGTGTGATCCTTCTGCATCTTATGTCTGGAGCAGAGTCCCTCACTGAATCTTCAGGTCGTCACCTGGTGAGGCTGGCTGCCAGTGAACAGGCCCTGTCTCAGTCTCCAGATCAGAGCTGGGACCACAGGCACACACTGCTCAGCTCTGACGGCGTCTCGGGGCGTCTGCACCTTCCACTCAGCCATCTCAGCCACTGCGTTTGTGGGAGCTGCCTCCGACTCCACGTGCTGTGAGCTCCCCTGGGCTGGGACCAGACCCCTCCCTTCCCCTCCCCTCCCCTCGGACTCTAAGGTTCCCTCTGAGCCAGTGGTTCTCGACCTTGCTCACGCTGTGACCCTTTGCTGTGCTGACCCCAACCATGAAATTATTTTGCTGCTACTTCACAGCTGTAACTTGGGTACTGTTATGATTTGTAAATATCTGATATGCGACCTCTGTGAAAGGGTCGATCCACCCCAAAGGTGTCGAGACCCACAAGGTGAGGACTGGCACGGGTGTCAATCCAAGCCCGTGCCTGTGTTGAGATGTCACACTTAGTCAGGGACACTCTTCATGCCACGAATTCAGATGGGCGTTCTATGTTCTTCTGGGGATTTGAGGGTTTTTTGAGACAGTATTTCACATGGTCCAGGATGGGCGCAAATTCCCTATAATGCCCCTAGCTAAGCACAAACCCCTAATCCTGCCTCCATCTCAGAAGTGATGCGACCTCCAGAGAAGGATTCTGGGGTTGGGGCTGGGTCTCGAGCGAGTCAGGCAACGACTCTACCGATGAGCCCCAGCACTTGCTTTCAAGAAAGCAGTCCTGCACCCCAGGCTATCCTGGAACTAGCAGTGCGCCTCTGGCCTCAGCTCCCCAGCGCAAGGGTGACCGGTGCCTGCATCGCACTCGCAGCCCCGTTGCAGGCGACGCAGCCCCGCCCGGTGCCCCAGTGTGACAGGTGCGCCCGAGTCAGCTCCCCGGTGCCAAGCTCCCCCGGGGCGGCCGCGCCACCCACGCGCCAATTAGCATCGGGAAAAGCAGGCCCCGGGGCGCCCAGGGAGGGTGCGAGCCGGGCAGGGGCGGGGCCAGAAGAGCGAGGCCGCACCCGCCGGAACCCCGGAGCCGCGGACGCGGCGCCCACCCGAGCCCCAGGTCGCCCCCGGGATCCGGCGCCCGTCCGCCAGGCCCCACGCGGAGCCCAGGCCGCCGCGCCCCACCCGGCCGCAGTGACCCGCGCCGCCGGGAAGTGCGCAGGCGGCCGCCAGCCTCGCGCGGACCCCAGGCGGCGCCGGACCCCAGGCGGCCCGCCGGAACGATGCGTCCGCGGGCGCCGCGCCCCACCCGGACCCCGGCCCGCAGCGGGCCGGAACCCCGGCCCCACCCGGACGCCCCGCCGCCCGGCCCCCGGCCCCCGCGGCCCGACCTCGTTCCAGCTCCTCCAGGACGTAGGCCAGCAGCCCCGGGCAGCCGCACTCGCCGCCCACCACCAGCAGCAGCAGCGAGCTCGGCGCCGCCACAGCCTCGGGCGCTGCCATCGCCGCCGCCATCTTCGCGCCGCCCCGACGCTTCCAGCGCCCCGCCCCGCTGACCACGCCCCTTCACCGAGCGTACCGGAAGCCCCAGAGACCCCGGCCGGAAGCGCCCCCTCCTGTCCACCCTATCAACGCCCTCCGGGAGACAGCAGAGAGCGGAGACGCCCCGTCCTGAGGAGCTGAAGCCCTGCCAAAATTCCATTCATTCATTCATGCGCTCATTCATCCTTCCAGGGACACTTCCCGACGTTCTGTCCCGCAAAGTCCTCCTGTAGCAGCGGTTCCACACAGAACCGGAGTCTGAGATGTACTAGCAGCTCCCTAGGATTCCGACACATAGGGCTTTGAGGGATGTGTAGGAGTTTGCTCAGAGAGTGTGTGTGTGTGTGTCTGTCTGTCTGTCTGTCTGTCTGTGTATGTCTGTGTGTGTGTCTGTGTCTGTCTGTGTGTCTGTGTGTGTGTCTGTGTGGTGGGCCAGGACCAAGTGAGGCAGACGCTACAGTATGAGAGGTATTGAAGTCAGGGGGACACTGTTCCTGTCATTTTAGGGGAAAGGACATTTTGGAGGTGTTAAATCAGCAGGCCTGTTAAGTGTTAGCGTCCATCTGACTCCAACTAAGTTTGCCTCTCGGCCTTCATCGAACTAACGACCCTCCTGCCCGCACTCTTCCCACAGGCTGGGCCGCAGACATCACTGCAGAAAGCTTGGGTTCCCCTTGGACTGTGCGACTCCCACCCACGGCGCCTGGAACAGCCTCACTCCAATCGTCCACCCCATGTCAAATGTCTAAACTGCTGTGCAGACCAAGAATGCCAGGGGCTGCCCTCGCCAGTGAGCCCCTGTCTCTGTGCTTGGGCATTCCCAAGGAGGCTGAGGCAGGGGGACCAGAAGGTCACAGTCAGCCTCAGTTACCTAGCAAATACGGGCTACATCAGTCTCTGCATCAAAAAGAAACAATCAAAAAAGACAAACTCATTCTTTAATCCCAGCACTCGGGAGGCAGAGGCAGGCGGATCTCTGTGAGTTTGAGGCCAGCCTGGTCTACAGATCGAGTGCCAGGACGGCCAGGGCTGCAGAGAATATTTCAAAACAAACAAAAAATAAGCAAAATGCAAATCAGGGCTGAGGAGAAGAGGTCTAGGAGGCGGAGCCAGGCCCCTGCTGATGTCCTGTCCGGCCTTGTCTAAGCCAACTTCCTCCTTGGTCAGTGTGTAGCAACAGCCATGGCCTCATGCCATGGTCCGGGGCTCCTGGATACCAATTTCCTTGTCTTTTTGGCTCTGTGTGCTTCCCAGATCCTGACTCCTCCTGTGGCTGCTCAGCCTGTAACTTCCTCTGTTTTAACAGAAACAGAACTGGACTTGATGGTGCATCCGGTCACCCCAGACTCCTCACAGAAGACTGAGGTAGGGGCATTGTGGAGAGTCTGAGGCCATGTCAGGCTATAGAGCAAGCCGAAGGATAGCCTGGGCTGTGTAGGAAGTCATCCGGAGTGGAGAGGGTCCCAGGCCAGCCTGTGGTAATCCTTTGAAACCAACACAGATGGCTCAGCAGCTAAGAACTCTTAATGCTCTTGCAGAGACCCGAGTTAATCCCAGCCCCCACATCGCAGGTCCCAACTGCCTGGAACGCCCGCTCCAAGGAATCTACCGCCGCTTCTGTCCTTCATGGCTGCGCATACTAAGACTTCTTTAAAGCAAAACTCAAAGAGACGGCTACGTTGGCTCGCCTTTATTTCCTAGCACATGGGGGGGCAGAGGAAGGCAGATTTTCTGGTCAGCCTGGACTACAAAGAAAATCCCCAGCCATTTAAGGCTACAGGGCGACCCCACCAAAAAACCAGGGAGCTGGAGAAGCGCTGAAAACCAGCAGCTTTTCGATGCTTCTGTCCCGTGCAGGGGACACAGGGAAAGTTTGCAGCACGGACCCAGCAGCCCGTTCCGTTTGTTCCAGCTCTTCCTACGTCACCAGTCCCTCGGGATTTGAACCCAGGAGCTGAAGTTTGCACTCTTCCAGATGCCCAAGGGCCCTTTGTTTCCCTTCTTTCTCTGCTCAAACCGTCGAGTCTCCTGCCTCAGCCTTCCGGCTTTGGGCGAGGCAGGCCCGGGGCTTCGCACCTGTGGTGAGTGCTGATGTTCTGATCCCCAAGCCGCTCGCTCAGAACATCTCCACCAGGAGTCAGCTGGGGAAAGGCCCTCATTAACTTTGCAGACCAATGGCTCGAGTCTTCTGTAAAACTCTCAAAATAAGCCTTGTGTCCTTGAGTTTTTCTGTCCCTGGAGTTCGGGGTCCAGGCGTGGGGAGTGCAAGGCTCTTCGAGAGACGATGAATCGCTGGTCAGTCCTGAAATCCTAAACTTTGGAACTGAGGTCACACCCTCACCTCTGTCCACATCTAGATGCAGCTAACTAATGGGTCAGCCGGGGAGGGGGTTGGGGGAGGGGAGCGAGCGACCGAGGAAACTCTGAGCCCTCGGGCAGACATTCTGTCTGCAACAAGTAGTTCAGTCACTCTCCACCTCAGCGGACAGACAGGTCCCAGCCTCCACAGGACCACGTGTCAGCTTCTGAGCCACGCCCCCAGCCCCTCCCCCTGGGATCACAGGCTGTCACTCTACCCCTGACCCATGCCCCCAGCACCTCCAAAGAGGGTTTTCGTCATCCATGGATCAGGCTTCCCTGGAACTTAAAATGTTCCCGCCTCCATCTCCCAAAGATGGGCTGGCAGATATGGGACACCAAGCTCAACCCTGCTGAGCTTTGGAAGCAATTGCTATCACTGTGACAGCGACCACAGCTTTCTTTATTCCCGGAGTCCACGTCCCACGCTTTTCCAATCCCATCACCACCAGCTTCATGTCGCCCCCTGCCGGCCGCTGGAAGAATTGCCGGCTGAGCCCGAGGCCACGCCCCCCTCAGTCTGCACCAATCGGGAGCTGCAGGAACTCACGGCTTTGGCCTGACCTCACCGCCTTCACAAACAGCACCTTCAGTGTTTCTGTGTTCCTGAGAGAGGCCGCACTCCCTCGGGCAGTGAAGCATCCAGGCTGGCTTGTGTTTCTCTGCATGTTCCTTTAGAAGTCAAGGAGGCATGTAAACCGGACAGGACAGTTGCTCTTAGGCATTCATCTTGTGTGCCCTGTACGACTTGCAAACATCACTGTATCCCAGCAACGACAACTGTATTGATGCTACCATCGCCACTATACTCTGTTTCTGATTAAAGTATAAAAAGTCCGATTGTGGGGCTGGGGATTTCGCTCAGTGGGAGAGCGCTTGCCTAAGCACAAGGCCCTGGGTTTGGTCCTCAGCTTGTGGGGGCCGGGGTGGGGGGGTGGGGGTGGTCTAATTGCTCTCAGTAAAACTGTCACAGGCTCAGTCTTGCCGTGGCCTCTCGGCCCTCTAACCTCATGGCAGTCCATAAGTAAATGTGGGCACTTACAAGGTGCCTCCCGCTTCCTAACATGCCAGTCGGACCTGCGCCCTGGCTGCCCCTCCCAGCTGCCCCTTCCAGCCCTCCTGAGTTGCCCCAGGGTTCCCACAGCCCAGTCAGACCTCCCCACCGCCCGCATTCCCCTTTATTTCTGTTTCCCTCCCCACCTTGACTGGTGCGGTTGATTACTTGCTCCTCCTGGGTGTGCTTTTCAATCCAGCTAGTGCTAAGTGATTGAACTGCACACTCATGGCCCTCGCGCCTGAGAGTGTCTTAGGGGAGGGTACAGTGAGCCACCTGTGAGGAACAGTTATGTGTCAACATCAGGAGAGGGTACAGTGAGCCACTTGTGAGGGAGTCACCTTCAACGGGGCTGAGATTGTTTGCTTGTTTGTTTGTTTTGTTTGGGGGTTACAAGACGGGTTTTTCAGTGTAGAGCCTGCAACTGTCCTTGTGCTCACTCTGTAGCCCAGGCTAGCCTCAAACTGAACAGAAGCGTCTGCCTGCCTCTGCCTCCCTAGGGCTGGGATTAGATGCCCCCCCACCTGGCCTGGGCTGCTGAGTTTAACATAAATTGGGGAGAGGACATGTCACATCTGTCACAACTGGGCATTGGAGGTTGAGAGCTTTCAGGAGTCAGTTCTCTCCTTTCAAAGGTGGGTCCCGGGGATCGAACACAGGCTGTCACTTTTATCCACAGAGCCAGCTTGCCAGCCTGCTCACATGCACCTTTCAGTTTTAATTGCAGTGTAAGGGTGTGTATGTCTGTGCACCAAATGTGTGCCTGGTGCCTAAGTAGACCCCTGGAGCTGGAGTTACAGACAGCTGTGAGCTGCTACATTGGTGCTGGGAACTAAACCTGGGTATCTGGAAGAGCAGCCAGTGCCCCTAACCATTGAGCCACCCCCCCAACTTAGGAATTTTTGTTGGAGTGAGCTTTGTGACATCTCAGAGTCTACCGTGTCTGACTTGCAGTCGTCCCATCTGATTCTTCGAGTGCCTGGGATGTCAAGAGTGAGGTCCCTACCTGAGTAAATAGACTCTGAGTGTGTGTGTGTGTGTGCGCGCGCGCTCCTGTGTGTGCATGTGTGTGTGTGCGTGTACAAGCACACAAGTGCTTGTGACTGTGTGTTTGTGACAACACAACTTGTAGAAGTAAGTTCCATCATTATGGGACCCAGTGGCCCACCAGGTCCCCAGACTTTGTCGCAAGCACATCTCCTCTGCCAGCTGAGCCATCCTCCGGCCATCTTTTTGATTGCTTGTGTTTTGTTTTGTTTTGTCTTGTTTTTTGAGGCCCTGTTTCATGGGTTCAGGCTGACCTTGAACTCCTGATCTCTGACCTCAGCCTTTCTCATGTTGGGATGACAGGTGAGCCATGCCACACCCTTCTCCCCTTACCTGTGTGGGCTTCACTGGGTAACACGGAGACCCAGGGAAGTCATGGAGAAGTTAAAGCCACTGAGCAGGGGCACTGAAAGCAGAAAGAATGGAGTTTGAGGGGCTGCAGAGGAGCCCAGGGCCAGCAGGTCCTCAGCTGGGAGTTAGCTGAGCCTCTGGGAGAGTCCTAAGCAGCCCCAGGGCTCAGAATTGGCCTCAAACTGATCAGTGGTAAATGTCGGTGAACCCTGTAATCCTATGAGTGCTGTGAACCCCGTGACCCCATGAGCACAGAAAACAAATAGAATATTCCCAGGGACGGCAATCACTGACATCCAGAGGGAGACAAACTTTATTTAAGAGAAGTGATGAGTTTGGCTAAAGGGCCCTCCCAGCCTCCTGGGCCCCAGGCACTCAATTGGCGCACACCCATGCATACGTCCGCATAAGTCATTTTTAAACATCCTGAGTGAGCTGCCGTGTGTGGCACGCCTTTTCTCATAAAAGCACTGGGAAGGCAGAGGCAGGTAGATCCCTGAGTGTGAGACCAGTTTGGTCCACAGAGTGAGACCCTGTCCCAAAATAACAACACTTTTTTTTTTAAGATTTATTTATTTATTATGAACACAACACCCTGCCCCCATGTACGTCTACACACCAGCAGAGGGCACCAGATCTCAGTACAGATGGTTGTGAGCCACCATGTGGTTGCTGGGAATTGAACTCATGACCTCTGGAAGAGCAGTCAGTGCTCTTAACCTCCGAGCCATCTCTCCAGCCCCCAAAATAACAACACTTAGTAACCAATTAAAGTGTCGTTTGTGACGGGACGTAGTGGCACATGCCTGCCGTCTCAGCCCTGGGGAGGCTGACTCGGGAGACTCCGGGAGTTCAGGGATATTGGTGACTACATGGTGAAGGCACGGGTGGCCTGGGCTTATAAAAACAAACAAACAAAAAAGCATGTTGTCACAGGAACAAGGTGGGCCAAGATTTAGAAATTTTTCTAGGACTGGAGAGGTGGCTCAGAGGTTAAGAGCACTGACCATCCGGAGTCCCTGCTCTTTATTCCCAGAAACCATGGCTCACAACCATCTACAAGTCAATCTGCTGCCCTCTTCTGACAGAACACTGCATATGCAATAAATAAATCTTAAAAAAAGAAAAATTTCTAGCCTTATATTAAAAAGCTATCAACAAAAACATCTTTCTGATAAATGTGGTGGTGTGTGTGCCCCAGCACTCGGAGGCTGAGGCAGGAGGGGAGGAGAGCAGACCCCGGCAGTGCAGCCCTCACCCAGAGCACACGGTGAATGTCTCCAACACTGCAAGACAGGTCTGGCCTTTCTCCCCCACCCCTCTGTGTTGGGGAAGTCCTGTTATTTGTCAATAAAGCACTGTTGAGCCTATAGAAAACCTAGATAGGAGGGACTAGGAGTCGAGGAGGATTCTGGGAAGGGGAAACACAAGAGAGTCAACATGTAACGCCATTGGGGGTAGGAAGCCTGGAACTATTCTCCGGTAAGAGACATACTTAGATTAACAATTATGGGGTAATTACTTAAGGCAGAGCTAGCCAGTAAGAGACAAGCAAGGCCAACAGCTTCATAATTAATATAGCCTCCTGTGTGTTTATTTGGGACTCATGCGGATCTAGAACCAGGCGGGCGGGAAGGCTCCTCTCAAAGAAAAAGCTTCCCTTAACACCTCTGCCTTGCCAAGAGCTGTTAGATTACATCCTAAAGCTGGCCCCAAGGTTCATTCCTTATTTGGCCACTTCTTTATGCCTGACTAAAACTCCAAGGTCCAACTGTCAAACAACTCTGAGTTCTAGCAATCAAAACTCATTATTTGGCTAACCTGTCCAATTGGGATTTACCAACTCACCCTAGCACAGACTCCCGTTTTCTCCTTAAGAACCCAATCTGCACCGGGCGTTGGTGGCGCACGCCTTTAATCCCAGCACTCGGGAGGCAGAGGCAGGTGGATCTCTGTGAGTTCAAGACCAGCCTGGTCTACAGAGCGAGTTCCAGGGCAGCCTCCAAAACAATACAGAGAAACCCTGCCTCGAAAACCACTCCCAAAAAACAAAGAACCCCATGTGCAGACACCTGTCCCTCTGGGTAGCACATCTCCTTAGTGCTGAGAATGTGCTCTCTGGGTGTGTCCTGTGTGGACTCCCAGGCCGTTCCCATGGTCCCTTTGCAGGCACGGGAATCCCGCGGGCCGGACAGTAAGCCTGAGGGCATTTTAGGGGCACAGGGACTGGAGGAGAAGGGAGGGAACCGCTCTGCTTGGTGACTAAGGGATCAGAGTGGAGTGGTCTGAAGCCCCAGATTAGCCGGGTGCACTGTGGGAGGACAGCCAGGTGGCCCTGCTGGGTTCTTCACCCCCAGCTAGAAGCCCCACAGAGTGAGAGGTGTCAGGACTGGAGCCCATTGTTAGGAGAGGCTCAGGGGCACATTCCCAGCACACCTCAGCTCTGGACCCTGAGCACAGGCCTTGTAGACTGGGAATTCTCGCGAAGGCCGGGCCCAAGGCTAAGGCCGGCCTGTGCATACCGACTTCTCCCTCTTCGGCATCTCATTTCCTGCCTGTGACCCCCAGGGTATAGGCTGCACCCCAGGTTCTGTCTGCCTCTGACCCAGTGTCTACCCCACTTGAGCAGCCTGCAGAACAGAGGCAGGGGCCAGTGTGTTCCAGCAGAGGGAGACACTGTCCTAGCCTGGCCACTGCACACCTTGGCCGGCATCTTCCTGCCTCACTCAGTAAGATCACAGGCGTGTGCCACCACGCCCAATCTCTGAATCTTACAACTATCCTATGGGCCGGAGCGTGTTAGTGGTTTCCTCAGAGAGCGGGGAAAAGTGAGGCCCCACAGTCGTATATTCCCGAGATCAATGGGGCAGCTCCAAGACCAGCAAGCAGCCAGACAGACCCAGCTCGCTCGGCCTTGCTTGCTGTGGAGCCAAAGGGAGGCGCGCGCCACCTAGCGGCCGCTAGCGAAAACACACTGCGGATAGTGCCTCCTGTCTCCCTACAGTTAAGGCGGCCAGGAAAAGAAAGCTAAGAGAGAAAATTCTACCAAGAAACAGCGTCCAATCCCAGCACTCGGGAGGCAGGGGCAGGCGGGTCTCTGTGGGAGAAACAGAGAGACAGGGAGACAGAGACACAGACAGACACAGAAAGACACATAGACAGAGACAGAGACAGAGAGCAGCTATGTGGGCTGGCACACTCCTGCATCCCAGGAATCAGGACCTGAGGCAGGAGAATTAGAGGGAGTTACAGGCTGGCCTTGGCACACAAATCCTGTCTCAACAAACAGTAAAAGAATTGATTCCATATAAAAAGATCGATGGGGCTAGAGATAGAGATAGCTCAGCAACCAAGAGCACTGACCGGGGTTCGGGTCCCAGCACCC